GAATGTCCTGACCAGATTATTTATGTCATTGATGACATCACTTATTGTTAGACACAGGGGTCCCACAACATCTCTCAAGCTTTGGAAAGACACAAGAAAGTTATGTTAAATAACAAAATGCAAGAAGACTCAGAGTGTGTTTGACAGAGATGCAGGGCACCATTTATACAGATTTCAAGCAGGTCAAATGCATTACTAGTGTTGCAAAAGCAAAGCACAGTTGTGTCTAAAGCAGCTGGAATGACAAACCATTGAACACTGACCTCCGGCTGAGTTTCTCTACAACAATGCGTTTCTGAATCAGGTGCTGTGCATGAGAATCAACCAAAGGCAGAGGAGGGTCCTTGTCCTTCCCACTGTCCTGGAGAGCAATAAGAAAAAGAGTGCATGTCAATCAAGAATGCAACATACAGAAATGAATGAGAGATGTATGGGGGTAAATTGATGCCAATATCATTGAAAATGGACAGACTAAAAGTAACAAATAGATAATAGATCACAAATAGCTCATGCTAGAGTTAAGCACCTACAACAGGACAGTCAGAGTAACTGCAGGTTTAGAGTTCAGAATGAGAGGCCAGAAAATGCATTTGGATGCTTTAAGTATGAGAAAACATTAATGCCATTGCTTTAGATATAAAATCAAGTGGCATTTTAAAAGAAGAACAAACACTTTGTTAGGTCATGAAATAAAACAACTGATATACTATTAACACAAAAAAAGTATTTGTGGTTTTAAAAACAGTAGGTGGATCATGTTCACAGTTAATGGGAACTACGTGTGTGTACTTGAGGAATTGAAATTAACCTGAAATAAATTAAAATAGAAGGATTAGGTGAAAACTAAAATTAGAAATGTGGCAACTAGCTGAAATATGTTTAAGTTGAAGTAAGAAATTTGCTAACTGTAGAAAAAATAAAACCTACACACAAAAAAAAAGCACTTTAAAAAAAAAAACAAGAACTAATAAAAATGAAAAAAGCACATCATAAAATACTTTTATTACATGACAACCATAGACTGTCCTTGACATACACATAGGTTTCCGAGGAAGTAAAACATCCTCTTCATCATTACCTGTGTAAATAAATACATTTGCAAACTAAAAATTGAAAGATCCATGACTCTTCTTGACTATTGGAACATAAAACACGTGTAATATGAAGTGAATCAATTTGATTTGAACTGTTTGAATAGGAAGTGATTCATTTAATTCAGTTCATAACAGTGAAGAACAATATCGTCTCCATCCATCAACAGTTCATTTTAAATTAAACATTTTCTTGTCCAAATTGTACTAAATCACAAATATTAAGCAGCACAACTGTTTTCAACACTGATAATTTACATAAATGTTTCTTGAGCATCAAATCATCATCATTTTAGAGTGACTTCTGAAGGATCTCTTGACACTGAAGCCTGGAGTAATGATGCTGAAAATTCAGCTTTTGATCACAGGAATAAATTACACTTTAATATATATTAGAGATCGGAAGGTTGCCGCTTGATTACAACATTATATTATCTATAAAAGTATAAGTCAAGAAGGGTAGCTTAAAAGTGAAAGACCTTTTAGAGAAATTCGAAAGGCAAATCATTTAGTTCTCACCTGTTTATCTTCAGTCTCTTTGATGGCATCCGTCTTAAGCTCTCCAGGCAGAACACACACTCCTTCATAAAACTCCCTCACTCTCAGCTCCAGCGACGCAGTCTCTTTCCGCAGTGTCTCAATATCAGGAGCAGGAGCTCTGGGTGTGAAAGAACTTCCACTGTCCGGTCTCAAGCCCAGCTCCACCTCGGTCTCATCCAGGTCATCTTCATCCAGTTCCTCCGCCTCCTGTGCTGTAACCTCTGTTCCTGAAACATATCCAGGCCCATAAAGAAACTTCATAGTTTCCTCAGTTCTCCACTCCGTAAAGGTTTGCCGTAGACGCTCTAGCAGGCACAGATTGACGGCGGTGGGAGTCGTTTTAGCTCTGTTGTGATCCTTCAACAATCCTTTGAGGCCTGCAGCTCCTCTCTTACTCATGCCCACCTGAGTGATGTTCAGAGCACCAGCGGCAGGGAGGGAGTTTACAATCTCAGGGAGGTTAGTTGCAGCGTCCTTCAGACTACACCGATTCAAAAGCTCCAGAGTGTCTTTAATATCAGATTCTGCAGATGTGGTTTTATCCAGTTTAGGTAGACAGTCGGTTGGGTCTTGAGTTTGTGAAGATCCACTACCATCGTTATTTTCTCTTTGTGAAGGTTCAGGATGTTCACATTGCTGAATTTCAGCAGTGGACTCATCCTCACTCGCTCCATCCCTCTTTGGCAGCTTTCCCCAGTGAACCCGTGCTTGTTTACTCTGTCTGGACACCACACTGGAGACAAAGTCTTGCTCAATGTCGCTGTTGTCACTCTGGCTGAAGGGAGGAGAGTCTTTGTAAGACTCGGGAACGTCTGTGACGGGATTCTCAATGTCAGCTTTTTTTAAAGGCTTGTCTACCAACTTTATCTCCTGTCCTGAGCTGCCTCTGTGCAAAGGTGAGAATAAAATTCCAGTCAATTTATTAAACTATAAACTACTCATTCTGAAGTTTATTGCACTGCAAAACATCTACTAAAACAATTACATCTCTCTAAAATAAACAGCATGTACATACCCATCTCCTTCTTTCATCAGCTTAATCTCAGGAGGCCTTTTATGAAAAAGAAAGGAACATTTTTTATTTAAAAGAATAAAATGCTAAACATTGTTACATTATTTAAAAACATACTTAAAAATACAGTTTAATTAAAATTATAATACTACAGTTCAAAAGTTTGGGTATGTCTTTTTAATTAGAAGAGAGAAATACATTTATTCAGCAAGGACATATTAAATTGAACAGAAGTTATAGTAAATATTTCCATGAGATAGATTTTCTATTCATCAAAGAATGTTGAAAAAAAATTGAGTTTAACAAATTACTATACAGTACAACTGTTTTCAACATTGATAATAAGAAAAGTTTATTGAGCATTAAATCATGAAATTAAAAAGATTTCTGAAGGATCATGTGACACTGAAGACTAGAGTAATGATGATGCTGAAAATTTAAAATATATTAAATTATATACTCATAATCTTTCACAATATTACTTTTGTCATGTTTTTATTTAACAATAAACACAATATTTACTTTTTTAATATTACAATTTTTAATCAAACAAATGCAGACTTGATGACCATAAGAGACTTCTTTCAAAAACGTCAATTCTTTCAGACCCCAAACTTTTGAATTGCCATAATCTAAGTTAAAAATGTAATATTACATATAAAATAAATTATATCTTTTTTTATAACTGTATTATAAAGAAATCAGTTTTATGATTAAACAATTTGAAATATACGATTAAACATTTTGATTTTAATAATAAATTAAATATTTACTTTGTATTTAATTATAATGACTGAACTGGATCGACAGATACACTACCTCTCATCCTTTCTAAGCCAAAGTGGAGTTTTTGATATCTGGAACTCAAAACATTTGGATGCTTTGTAGCAGAAATTACAACAGAAGCACTGAAAAATAAAGAACAAACAACAGAAAATTATGAAGAACTGGTCAGCTTAATTTCTAAATAAAATTTTAGGAGAGCGATGGAAATAAATCATACCTTGCGCTCAGTAATATCATAGACTTTATTCGTTTTGGTGGATATTTTAAACTGTTGAGCGGGCACCTGAAATGAATAAACTCTTATTAGACAGAAAGAAACAACAACATTTGTCAAATTAAATATAACTGGTGTAATTCCAAGAAGGGTTCTTACATTGGTTAGTTTATTTGGACACACAGGGTATCCACACAGTTTGGCAATGGACCGCTCTTCCACTGTGTCTTTGTAATTGATAGAAGTGATGTACCATGCCTGCAGAAGATGACAGTACATTCTTTTAGGAGCACAATTATTTAAATCTCCAGCTAAACTGTATAAAAAGGTTAAACAAGTAAGTTACACAGTCGATGAGGAACTGGTCTGTCACGCTGTCCTCTTCCACCAAGCGCTCGACCACGTTCAGGGCTCTGCGCTCCAACTCCAGCTTCTGTCTGAGCGCCTCTTTAATGGCTTCCCTCCTGCAAACAGCACACTTTATATAACTCACGTCATTTTAATAGTTACTTAAAAATAGTGCTATTCAAAAATAGGGGTGTAACGATACCCTCATATCAAGATTCAAAACATATCACGATACTGAACTCACTGTTATTGCAATACTCCAAGACATACGGTAAAAGGGTTACAAAAATGCTAAATTTGGTATTACATTGGGGGTGTAAATCATTTACATCCCCAATGTAATACCAAATTTAGCATTTTTGTAACCCTTTTCAGAATAGGCTTGGACTTGGTGCTGGTAACCCACTGCACCGGACAATAGTGACCCCAGAATTATTCTGAAGAATAATTTTAAAAGAATATGCTTGGACTCAAGATTTATATTATTTTTTTACTGGTAATATAAGACATTTGGCATTATCAGGACCCGTAAATATATCCCATTACATAATTATACTTGTAGTATGATGTAGTAACTGACACTAAAACTCTGTGAACTTGAATTTTTTCTCACACAGTAATTTTAATTTAGGGTGAAATATACACAAAACAAATTGTCACAATCCACGATACATTGTTGCATTTTTGTATTGCGATATATTGTGACACGACATATTATTACACTCCTAGTAAAAAAAACACAGTTCAACTAAAGTAAACAAACACAAAAGCACCTTCTCGCCTCACGCGCTGCTGAAATCGCTTCGGCTCCCTTTCCACCTAAAATTCAAATGAGGCGGACAAATATTGTTAAAGTTTAAAACTAACAACTTTGAGGGCAAATCACATTTAACTCCATTTATCCACCAACCTTTCTTTTTGGATTTTGAGGAGCTGTTCTTTCCCGTCACTTCACCGGCTTCCATGCTTGTTTTCCCAAAACAAAACTTTTTCCGCCTACGTCACAGCACTACGGCAAGCCGCCAGTGACACGCTTTATTCCGCTTCAGTTTCCAAACATGAGGCGCTGCTTATTGAACGTATAGCTGTAAGTGATCGCGCATTTGCATTTTGTATCTTTTTTAGTAGATGTATATCTTATTAGCAAAATAAACAGCAGCCATACCTGTACAAAGCTTCACGAACGCACAATCTGATTATATATCTTATTTAGTGTAACGTTACGTCAGTCGAAATTGTAGCTATCTTGCTAATGACTAACTTACAAGAACCGGTTTATATCTATACAGACTCTCTCTCTCTCTGACGAAGAGTGAGGTCTATTTATGAATATTTTCTTTTTTATATGGATATTTTCTGCTTTTGTTCGCTGATGATAAAAATTAGAGCTGTGTGTACGACAACCAGCTGTTCTTTATAAAGCTGTCATGATTGATAACTACGTCAATGCTCTATTGTCTTTGCACCACATAATTGTTATCATGCATAATATTAATATCTTAACAAAAATTCTATACAGAAATCTTTGATGACAGAAGACGTTTCGGACCATCAGGATGGCTCTAGAACAGCTCAGTGATGTAGTCCAGAGATGTGTAAGTGTCTAGATGTGGGACTCTGTACATTGACGATGTGTCGCCTACCATCAGTCACGTGTGCTCTTACTTTTTCTTTAGCAAGGAATCAAGGATGAAAGCTACTCACCGGAGGACTATGATGTGTTCCTCACCGCTGGAAGAACCTGTTTAGAACAAGGCGACAGTGCTCAAGTGCTCAGCATCCTAGTCGATGAGAAGAACAAGGTGAGATGGACAGCATCTAGTGCGCTTTGTGGTTCATCCATGGAGAAGGACAAATTCAAGAATGTTTTTCCTTGTTTTACTCAAGTGCATAGTGAGATGCATGGGCTGGAATCTGCTGGGACCTCTGGTACAGATGCTCCTGAAGAAGGAGGACAAAAACCTTCCCCACTGCCATGCCATCCTGTCGCATCTGCTGGAGGTCTTGTTCTTAAACCATGACCGGCTATACGTTTCCATGCTGCTTCCAATTGTTCATTGTGTTGTTTTGTGAAACAGGTTTGCAGTCCTAAAGAGCTGCTGGTGGGTTTGTTGGAGCAGGTGGAGGAGGCTGATTCTGGCTCCATTGCTGAGACGCTTACCCTTCTCCTCAAGCCTTTACAAACAGGTTCCTCTTCTCTTAGTCACTGAATCATAAGCACTGAAATGTTGATGGAACTGCTGACAGCCTAAATGTTTCAACCATCTCCGATTTTAATTTTTTAATCTACACTACTGTTCAAAGTATGGGGCCAGTACATTTTTAAACGACTTGAAAGAAGTCTCATATGCTCATCAAGGCTGTATTTATTTGAACAATACAGTAAAAACTGTAATATAGTGAAATATTCTTCATATTTAAAATAACTCACAATAAAATAAAATATTACTGTGATGGCAAAGCTGATTTTTCAGCAGCTATTACTCCATTATTTGAAATAAAATCGTTATGTAACATTATGCATGTATTTAGTGTCAATTTTGATCAATTTAATTAATGTAGGTATGTCTGGGTGATATATAAAATGATGCAATGCGACGGTCTACAACAGGCATACACAGCATTACTTGCATAGTACATAAACAACGAATCGAACAGTTATCAAACTTTTGTTTTAATTTAATAGGGGAAAGTTATATCATAATTATTGCTATCATTTTATCCCAAAGCCCCAATTTTGCATGTACTACTTTCTGAATAAAAGTGTATTTAAAAAAAAAACGTACTGACCCCTAACTTAAACTCACTTCAACCGACTACTAAGTTGTTTTCCGACCATCCTGACTCATGCATACTGTATTCTGATGTACTCATAAGACTCCTCCATGTGATTTTGAATGGATCCTAAATGAACCAGATCCTCTTTTTGCCCCTGAACCTGTCAGTGCTGCTGAGGCTGGGCATGAAGAAGGCCTCGTCTGTGGGCATGGCTCTCTCCACGCTGCTCAGCCAGGTGGCCAGACTGCCGGTGCCCGTCACCAAAGAGCAGGAGGAGGATGATGTTTTCGGCTTGTGCTGCTGCTGCACTGCTCTTCTGCAGTTTGTGAAGCCCTTTGTTGAAGAGATCAAGGAGATCGTCAAGGACAACAACAGAATATCCAAGGATAATGAGCTCCGAGTGGAACTGCTCAAGTTGTAGGTTTAATAAGTGTAGCTTATTTCATATTTAACAGTTTTTGTTGAATTTCTATTAAACCATGTAGCATTTTCTACTACAGCACAAGTTCTATACAAACATATTATGGCTGTTATAAAGATGTTCATCAATATGAAAGATACTCCAAGTAGCTTATCATTTTTACCCCAAATTAAGGATATATCGACATAATTTCAGTTATCGGTATTGGTCAGCATTGGATATTTATGCTTTCTAGACTCTTGATTAGTTAATCCTTAAAAACACTAATAATGTAATATAAACACTGTTAAATGAAATCTTTAGCAAAATCCCGATGTTTGAGTTATAAAAATGTGTGATACGCAGATTTATTTAAAAAAAAATTTTTGGGGGGATTTTAGTTTATTTTTTTTTAGACAATATAACAAAGTGTTTTAATATTTTATGTATTATATTTTTATTCAGCTGTATGAAGAGTTTAAGTGAGCCTCTGCTGGAGGTGCAGTTGAAAGATCCAGACACACTCCAGAAATCCCCTCTGAGAGACTTTGCTACTGAGATACTGGTATAAAATTGCATGAACTTTCTTAACTTTCATGAAGTGTTTCGAAACTTACACTGTCATTCAAACGTTTGGGGTCAGTAAGATTTAAAAAAAAAAATTTATTATTTTTTTAAATTAAAAGTAACAGTAAAGAGATTTATAATGTTAAAATTTTTTGGCAACTTTATATTAAGTGGCTTTAACTACTATTTACTTACATTGAAATTAATAATTTGATACAATGGACTTATTGTGTACATACATGTTTTTATATTGTACTTATATTTAAAAAATACCTGCATGAAATTACAGTCATAATTAATGTAATTACATTTGTAATTACACAGTTGACCCTCCCCTGACACCTTAACCTACCCTTAAACCAACCCATACCACCACACCTGTCCCTAACCTCACCAGTATCACACCTCAATAGCAGCAAAGGTGTTTTACAATACAACATCCACACAATAAGTACTATACTTATTTTTAGATGTAATTACATAGTACTTAAAGCCACTTAATATAAAGTGGGACCATTTTTTTGTATCACAGTTCCCACAAAAATATCAAGCAGTTTTCATCATTTGATTATAATAAGAAATGTTTCTTGTGCATCAAATCATCATATTAGAATGATTTCTGAAAAATCATGTGACTGCTGAAAAATCAGGTTTGCCATCACAGAAGTTAATTTCATTTTAACATATATTCAAATAGAAAAGTTATTTTTAAATTGTAATAATATTTCACGATATTACCGCTTTAGCCTTGGTGAGCTTAATAACTTAATCTTATTGAAATCAATCTTTTGAATCATAGTCTAATACAATTGTATTAAATAGCATGATATTAAATCTAGAGGCATCTGCTAATGTATTTCAAAACTACTGCCTTGATATACCTTTTCATACTTAATCTGCATTATGTTCAATATTTACAGATAATTTTGTCAAGTATCGGGGAGTCACTCCCTGATTTGTTGAGTCGTAATGTGCTGAAGAGAAGGGAGGTCCCAGGCTTTTTGGAAGAGGAGGTCAGATACCCAAAAGAGTCGCTGGCCTGCATGTGCCACCTGCTCTTTGTGAATCATATTGCTGTGGACATCTTTCCTGCTGTTCTCAGGTGAAGAAAGAAGCATCTGACCATGATTACCTACAGATCTATCTATCTATCATGTCAATTTGTGCTGACATTTGCATTTTTCTTTCAGTTCGGTTTTTGTTCTTCAGTGCAACATGGAATATATCGAGCTGCTGTTAAGCAGGTACTTATGAAGTTATGACTATGTATCTGAATATTTGTATGAGAGTCTTCTGACACACAGGATTTCACTCTACTGTTTTGATCTTCATTTATAGAACTGAAGGACCCCGTCTGCAGAAAGGATTGGTAAGTGTCCATCACAACTTCAAACCATACCACATTGTATTTATGTTTTATATATAGATTTATTACAGCCTATTTGTTACACTTTATTTTAAGGTGCAATTTTATATTTATGTACTGAGTAATATTAAGTAACTACATGTACTTACTATTGGGTTAGTAGTAGTACAGAAGCGTATTGCATTTACTTGAAGAAAGAAATCTCTGTTTTCCTGAATTAATGATTTTTGATTAATGATAATTAATGATTAATTAATGATTAATAATAATACATTTTAATAGAAAAAAGTTTTTGCTCTGTTTTTCTGAATTAACACGTGAGTTATTTATCTCAGAATTACGAGATACATTTTCATGAAAAAGAAATTTTGGCTCTGTTTTTATCTCAAAAACTCGGAATTCGGAAAAAACAGAGCAAAAACCTTTTTTCCATGAAAAATCATCTCGTAATTCTGAGATAATGAACTCGTTAATTCAGGAAAACAGAGTCGATTTTGTTTCCTCAAGTGAATGCAATACGCTTCCGTAGGTTAGGAATAGGGTTTGAATTTGACTTTTTGAAATTAAAGTCCTGGAAAACCCTTGAAAAGAGCCATTTTTATGAAAAGAGTTATCATCAGACAATATATGTGAAATTAGTGTTTAATTTCATTGATAAAACAATATTTTAACTCAAATGAACACTGTAGCCCATCTGATATAGACATAGTGCCATTTCACATGGTTATGAGCATGATATTGCTCATATATTATCCAGCTTTCATTCTTCAGGTCAATCACGTATATTCATGAGGAAAAAAATGTGTATAAATAAAGGATATCTTTGTCATAGTATCCTTTCAAAGGTTAAAGTTACCACAGTCACTGCATGCACTTGAATTGTACCATTTTATTTATCTATTTACCTTCTTAGAAGCTGAACGATAATAAAGATATTTTTTTGATAAGTGAGATCTCTATTGTAGTCCTTGTAAACCAAAAAAGTAGTTCTTGAAAGCCCTGGAATTACATTTTACAGGATCTGTATGAACCCTGGTAAGTACATGTAACATATGTAACAAGGACACTGTAAAATAAAGTGTTACCACCTATTTTAATATTCCTTTAATTCTTTCATCATAGGAACTGTATGAAAAAAGTCTTGTCAGAGTTGAAGATAACAGTCTACCAGTAGATCTTTTGGAGCTGAAGACGTTTTTCAGTGTTCCACAGGTAAAAATATTATAACTAATTAAGCCGATACAATAGTTTTACGTGTGATTTAGGTGATATCTTGTTCTAAGACTTTGTTTTCTGTCTAGAATTTGATTAAAGTTATGACGATGTGTCCAGACCAGACTTTGGTAAGTGAGATGATCTGTTGTTTATATGTTTGTGTTGTAAAATATTTGTTATCATTGTTCATTTTGATTTGTGTTCACCACAGAGAACTAAAAGCCTTAAAGTGTTTCAGCTGAGTATTGACAAATTCAGCACTGAGGCCAAATACAAGTTCTTCAGGTACGCCCTCCTTCTGATATTCAAACATGAAAACTTCTCATTTGGCTCAATACAAATTTTACAACTAGGAATGTGCTTGAAACCTAATACCTTATTCAGAAAGGCACTGATAATGGCTTTTAAGCGAATAACAAAATTCTACTAAATAGTAGGAAAAAAATATCCTGCAAGCACAGTCACTCCTCGAGTTTACTGGTTAATAGGTGAGCCATGGAATAGTATAGCATGATATTATGCATAAACATCTGGAATCACTACGCAATAGTGTGTGAAGTGAATGTGTGTAAACTTTATCAATGAAATGAGTGGAGCACGATCGCAAATTGAATAGAGTTTCTGTGCTTTTCAGCGACTTACAAATGAACAAAAAAAGTGATTCTTCTTAAAGGAGTTCACTTTTAAAAAAACTTTTGCTGATAATTTACTCATCCAAGATGTCAATGTCATTCTTTCTTCTGTCGAAAAGAAATTAATTTTTTTGATGAAAACATTACAGGATTTTTCTCCATATAATGAACTTCAATGAGAACCAAACGGTTCAAGGTCCGAATGACAGTTTCAGTTTCAGTGCCTTAAATGACACTAGACGATGAATAAGGGTCTTATCTAGCAGAACGAAAATGAACAAATCTAATTTCGAGTCATTTCGTTCGTTCATAGAACGAAATGACTCGAAAAAAGATTTGTTCATTTTGATGAACGAGTTCAAACAGGAGAGCCCTTTGAAGCTGCAATGAAACTGTCATTTACTGTCATTTACTTTACAAAAATTTTGTTACTTTAGTTAATTAAAAAAAAAAAAAAAAAAACTTTTGCTGATAATTTACTCACCCCCATGTCATCCAAGATATCCATTTTATTCTTTCTTCAGTCGAAAAGAAATTAAGGTTTTTGATAAAAACATTCCAGGATTTTTCCCATATAATGCACTTCAATGGAACCAAACAGTTCAACGTCTAAAAGTGCAAACTGCAAACTGTTTAGAGGGCTTTAAACGATTCCAGACGATGAATAAGGGTCTTATCAAGCAAAACGATCACTCATAAAAAAAAAACAAAAAAAAAAACAAAGTTTAAGTTTTATAAGCTCAAATGCTCGCCTTCGAAAGACAGCTGTTCGCCAGCAGAAGCCATTGTTTGTTTTTAAATAGCAGTGAACCATCGCAACTCTGTCGTCATGATGTTAAGCCCGCCCTCCGACTCTATACATGATGTGATTGGCCTGATCAGAGTTTGGTTTTTCCAGCTAAAACGTCTATGGAGAGTTGCTAGTCCACACTGGCTGCGAAATCATTTTTTGCTGCTGCTAGGGTACGTCTAGATTTCTAGGCTAATACGCTGAGATATCTGAGGTGGAAACGGGCTTCCATTGAAACAACTAAACATGTAGAAAGCTTAGCTGATGATATTAGTTTTAGTAGACACTTTAATTTATGGCGTTCCTCCATTTTAGAGGCATGTTGAAAACAAGTCACCACGCAGGGGTGGAGGGATACATTATCAAGAATATCAAGAATCAGATTGACTTTTCCCTCAAGGTAAGATAAATCATGATATCATGTCATTTGGTTTCATTAATGTTGCATTGCACCTATATTTTGTGTGTGCATTTTTAGCCATGTAATGGTAATGAGTGGTTCCTGGGTAAACATCTGCTGCCTCTGCTGCGGCTAGTGCTGTGTCTTCCAAACGGAGCGGAAACAGACCTGCTGCAGAACATGGACAGGTGAGAGCTCGGTCTTACTGCCACAACGGTTGCTTCGGTCGCAGTCGTTTTACCTGACCAAACTGCTGTTCATATCACACAGGATCATGGAGTCACTGAACCTCCTGAGATACATGCTCATCCGAGATAAAGAGTGGGAGAATGAGGTAAGGGTGAACCATCTTCACACGACTCTACATCAGTGGGGCTTATAAGCTACAATAAGCTAAAAACAACCGAACACTGAAATTATATTTCTCAGTTTATTCGTTCCCTCTACAACTGAATTATTATTATTTTTTGTTGCACACGGTTTTGGAAAACCTGGATTTGTGAGGGAATTTTAAAAGTGTGATTTGTAGAACTGGAAAAGAGGTGGAAATTAATACAATCTTTTTAAAAGTATTGGATTTTGACTATGGATTGTGTTTTTTTGATATAATTTTTCTAGTTATGTTAAGCTCTAAAATATTTTTTTTAAGGATTTGTTTTTTTTTTTAATCTAAGAGTGCATTTGGTACTAAAAAAATAAAATAAAAAAACTTTGGGTGCTCCAGAAAGGGTACAAGATCCAAAAATATTTGAGTGGATATTTCCTCGCCACGTCCGAGCACTCGCACAGATTTTATTTATAATTTTTTTAAAATATATTATTATTTTATTATTATTACTAATTTTAAAAGTTACTAGATGCTCTCTAAAATATTTTATTGGGTTGAAATTCCTGAGCATTGTTATTTTTATATCACTGAGTTTTTATTTTTTATTAATTATTTATTATTATTACTTTTTATTTTATTTATAATTAATGTTTTTCATTTACATTTATTCATTTAGCAGACGCTTTTATCCAAAGCGACTTACTAATGAACTAATGAGAACAATTAATATAATTAACGTTTTAGGATTTTTTTTTGTAATTTAATTAGAGGTTTATTATGTCTATATAGTTAAAATATAGTTTTAGTTTTTGTAATTTTAGTAAATCAAGTTAAACAAAAATGAGAAACTTTGGCAACTAGCTGAAATAATTTTTTTAAAAATTTTTTAATTTTATTTCAGTTAAAGTAATGATTTTTTAAATGGTTTTCCTTAACTGTAATAACCCTGTTGCTGATCAATTGCTATTTGTTAGTATATAAAAATGCAATAACAAAAGAAATAAGTAATTTAAAATAATTTGTAATAAAAAATAGTACTTAATAAGGAGAAATATGATAAGAAAATTGAATTACTTTATTTCAAACATCAACAATAATAATTATAAAAAAAAAAAAAAAAAACTCAAACAGTTGTTGGCAAAAAAAGACAATAATAATTAATTATTCTTATTTTAATATATTGCCACTACTAGTTTCTGTAAATACAAAAAAGTTTAAAAACTGTCTTTACGGTCTTTGTCAATGGGGGGCATTGTAGTAAAAAAAAAAACCTTAGATCCACTGCTCTACATCCATAACAAACTTCCACATAATATACTGTATCTATATATATCTGTTTAGACAGGAATTTGGACGGAGCTTTATAAGATTGAGGACAACTACCTGAAGCCAATGCGGACCGGTCTGAACATGTCCAAAGCGCATTATGAGGCAGAACTGAAGAGCATGAAAGCGAATAAGAAGATCACTTCTAAAGGTGCAATACTCTCTCATTCATAATCCCGAAGTTGACATATTTATGCTGTGAAGGTAGCTTGTGTGACTTGAATTCTCTGTAGTCAGGCTGGTAACCCTTTCTTGTTTTGCATTCGACAGACTCTCAAGCATCAGTCTGCACATTAACTGTTGACAATGAGAAGCTGCCCAACATGACACCAGAAATGCAGATTCAGGTATATTATTTTGTGCACCAGTCCATATGGGTCCTCCAATACATTGGACACAGCTAACAGTGTTTCCATGCCACAGGTTCTGCAGTCAGCCCTCTTCACATTTGACCTGATAGAGAGCGTCTTGGCAAGAATCGAGGAGATCATCGAGGCTAAAGAAAGACCCTTGTCATGATGTGAGAGACTGTATGCGTCTTTTAGCCTCTTCTCTTTCGGTTTACGTAGTCACACTTCTCAAAGCACCAGAGCCAGCTTCCTTTAATGATTCAACAGCTAATTGAAAGTGAGAGTTTTGTGATGCCACCAGCTCCTGGGTGGGGACAAAAAGCGTGGACTACATTCGATTTGCTGTATTTTATCGTGTCTGTGTCCGCTCTGGTTGTAATCACTCTCTTTGCTCTATAGTAGCATATTATTGTAGTATATTTTCAGGGAGAACCTTTTTAGGATTGATTTTCATTGTTTTGGCTTTGTTGCGCATTTGTTTGACGTCAAAACACTAATGTAAAAAAGTAATGTTGAGTCACCTATAAAAGTAAATGACAATGCAAGAAGTTATTGGATTATTACCTGCTGACAGGCTTTGTGTGTATTGATCACAAAAACAAACATGGAAAAATTGCTCGGATTAAGATTGTTAGCTTTTGTACCTGCATTTTTGCATCTTTCTGGTCTGTGACAGTTTTTCTGTGGGGGAATATTAGGCAGTGTTCTCTTCTACATTTTGCTACATGAAACGATTCCTCAGGCTTTGAATAAATACTATTGTTTCACAGATGCAATTTTTCTTTTTCCACATAGGGTCCAATTAAATTACACGGACAAATGATGATTCATCAAAAACCTGCTAACTAAAAAATTATTATAAATGTACAAATTTATGGAGGCGTATTGCATTCACTTGAAGAAAAAAATCTACTCTGTTTTTCTGAATTAACAAGTTAATTATCTCAGAATTACGAGAATTTTTCATGGAAAAAAGTTTTTGCTCTGTTTTTCTGAATTAACGAGTTCATTTTTTATGAGAAAAAAAGTTTTTGCTCCGATTTTCTAAATTAACGAGTTCATTTTTCATGAGAAAATTTTTTTTGCTCTGTTTTTCTGAATTAACGAGTTAATTTTTCATGGAAATTTTTTTGCTTTGTTGTTTTTCTAATTTAACTCGTTAAAATTTCCATGAAAAATGTACTCGTTAATTCAGAAAAACAGAGCAAAAAAAAAATTCCATGAAAAATTAACTCGTTAATTCAGAAAAACGGAGCAAAACTTTTTTTTTCTAGAAAAACAGAGCAAAAACTTTTTTTCCATGAAAAATTCTCTCGTAATTCTGAGATAATTAACTTGTTAATTCAGAAAAACAGAGTAGATTTTTTTTTCTTCATGTGAATGCAATACGCCTCGGTAGAAACCCACACTTCTGGGTAAGATTACATTTTTTTTTTTTAATGAGTACTTCAAGCATGTGGTCATTCAACTAAATATCTAAATTACAAGCGTATGAACAAATATAAATGCACCCATGCTCTGACCTTTTTTGTGAGAAGTTCTGTGCATATAAACAAAAATATCCATGCATATGTTGTATTTGTTTGATTGATTTATTATTATTGGAGAAACAAGTAGCAAAAACAGTCTGATGGTTTCCAAAAGTTTAAAATGTACATTTTATGCAAAAATATTTTTGAGTGACATAACTCAAAACATAAACAATTAGGCTTTTTATTCTCAAAAGTTAAACTATGATTAAACAAATAAATAAATCACTGTACAGCATGTAGTTAGAAAATGCATTCATGTAGCCCTTTACAGAATAATGCAAAATTAGGGCGATACACAAGAATTAATTAGTCATATCTTTGAAGAGTGGATGCTGCAGTGCCATGGAGGCCGTTATCCTCGTCGCTGGGTTTAAATCTAACAGTTTATCCAGGAGATCGTACACATCATCAGGCGCTTTGTCCCAGCCCATCTCCTGCAGCTCTGCAATGCTTCTGAGTGAGCCTGAGCTCATGCGTTTCTTAGCTGGACTCCCAGCATCCTGTTTGACTTCTGCTGGGTTACGTGAGGTTTGAAACTCAGCAGGAAGTGAGGTGTCATCCCATGATCGCAAACCTCTCAGGGTCTCACAGAGGATCCTCAGGTCCAGGCGAGGAAGTTCACGACTACACACTATGGATTTACCTGCATTCAGAAACAAAACAATATTCAGTCAGTTGAAGTTACGAGAAATAAAATGAAAAACATCAGGATCCATAGACATCTGATTCAGTCCCCATACCAAACGTCTTAGCAGCCTCCTTCGTCTCCCTAGATCCTCGAATGGTCATGATCTGAGTAAGAGCGATCAGATCGTCACTGGCTTTGAAGAACGGATACCTCCCGCTCAGCAGGGACAGCAATATGACTCCAGCTGACCACATGTCAATAGCTGCAAAAAGGTGTGCTTTCATTAGTCATGAATCTGTAAAAAGACTCAAAACATAAGACAGTTGAACTAAATATATGAAATGTACACCATACTAAATGTGTGTTCCATTCAAGTCAGATGTGGGATATTTCTATGAAATATTGCATGAAACATTTCATGTTTTCAGTTTTCCAATGCTCAGATAATATTAGCATTCGGTTCAGACTGCATGATTTTAGCCACGATTTTGGCTCGCCGACAGGTTTTGAGAAATCGCCGACAAATGCCCGAAATCACAGGCAAATCGGCGCTCGTTCACGCGAGTGACAATCACGCAGTGTGAATGAGCAAAGACGCGAACTGAAAGAATTACCGACGAGTCGCCGACGCCCGTGAGATATTTGGCATGCTAAATATCTGGACCTGTCGGCGATTCAAAATCCTGCTGTGTGAAAATTGTTTTGACTGAAAACTACATCGGCGATCACCGGCAGCCAGTGAGAGAGCAAGATACAGAGCAGCGGGGAGTTCGGGGAGAAGTTATAGATCACATATCAACATAATATGGCATTGTTTCAGAAAAAAAACTTCTTCTCGGTCTATTTGGACACAATAAATGGAAGAAAAATGAGTAGAAATTTGGCAGGAGCACTCGTGTCTGACGTTTCACCAGCTGTAACGTTACCACAACCGGGTCGAAAAAAAAAGTCTCACGTGAGAACTCCGGTCTTGCACGTGTGGTGTCGCGTTGTTTCCTTTTCACATCTCACGTGTTTGTTGTGTAAACGTAGTTTGCGCGCAGCGTGCTAGTCTGTTGGCGATTTTTCCTATTGTAAAGTCATGCAGTGTGAAACGTTCTGTCACCGATCAATCGTCCAGTGTGAACACAGCTGTGACTGAATTCTGGCCAAGATAGTCATGCAGTGTGAAAAGAACAGCGACCCGACTACTTTGAAAATCATGCAGTCTGAACTCGGCATTAGAGTCATTTGTTGGTGAATCAGACTTCAGTGAGCATGATGACGGCGCCTAAATCTATAGTGTACGATGTTAAAAATCGGTCGAGAAAGCCTGAGACGGTAAGGAAGTTTTAAAAAAACTCATCCCGCCCCTCCACACACACACCCCTCCCCTCTGTGCTACCTGATCCCTGAGCTATGTCACTTTTGAGTTCACGTCAACGCAAGATTAGCAACACATGAAATGTTCTAAACTCCCCACCACCATTAGTATAATGCTACTAGTATTGCTAGGGTTTTCAGTAATTGTTATATCAGCACACAGCGCATCTTGTTCAAATTCCGATCGGCTCGAACAGAAACCCGCTAGGCATACTGAAATATATTCAAGTACCTTAAGAAATATAATTACTTTGACCCGTGATAGGCCATGCTAAACGGCATTGCCATTGCCGACCGGCAGCATCATCATCATGAGCAAGTTGTCAAACTGATAAAAAGCTATATATGTAAATCCTCACCCCATAAAAGTATAAATAAATGTTTACCTGCTTAAAAGTCAGCCGAGCCAGCGTCGGTTTTCAGTCCCAGATCTCCCTGAAGCTTCCTCCAACGGTCAATGGTGGACCCTATATTTATCCTACTTAAGAGTCCGACGTTCCTCACATTTCTTTTTTTATCTCTGCTCTTTCCTCTACAGACTTTCTCTTTCGTCCAAACTTTACAGTAGAGGTAAGCAGGGGCCGCTTGCTGCTGTCGTTTATATTTTTATCCATTGCTTTAGCCATTGCTGATCTGACGCTACTTAGTTAGCTACCATACACTGTCTGTCAGCTGTTTGCTCGCGCAAGGAGGGGGGTGGGGTCGTGTGCGGTTGGGTTGGAGACGCGAGCGCCAGACGGAGTTTCAAGTGGAACTGGTGATTGGATGAGAGCAGTTGACCAATGTAAGCTGGCCGGCCGGACAGCTTACATTGGTCAACTTCTCTGCGGCTGTACAGCCAATAGAGTGAATGGATTTTTTTCATTCTTTTTTCTACTCATATTGTTAGGATTGTACTCTATAACCATAACCAGCATATAAACGAGGATATTAATAATGAACAATCTTTGAAATCGTATACCCTAGCTTTAAAACATAAGACAGTTGAACTAAATATATGAAATGTGTACACCATATTAAATGTGTGTTCCATTCCATTCCATTCCATTCATATCCCTGTCTTCTGGGCATGAAACATTTTGTTTTCCAATGCTCAGATAATATTAGCATTGGGTATAAAATACAGATTTCCTGATTTGATTCAGGTCTGATTTATTTGGGTATATTGACTTGATGTTGATTCAGTAATCACTCTGATTCAATCAGTAACTCTTGAGTTTGAGTCATTTTAAAGATGCATTAAAAGATCCAACACGTAAGATTCATTTGTTGGTGAATCAGACTTCAGTGAGCATGATGACAGTGTTTGTTGTGCACAGGTGTACATCATCAGTTTAAAGGGAGCAACATCAAGTGGCATTATATTTAGTTTTACTTTCAAAGTAGGAAATCGAAAAATTTCCAAGTGGAATATAAATGCTGAATCGCATTCCAAATAACAATATGCAGCAAATATTAATGTTAATGAGTAGCTTTACCTGTTCCCTGGTTAGGGCACTTGGTCAGAACCTCGGGAGCCCTAAAGCCTGGGGTACCAGCCCTCGGAGCCACCTGCTGTTTCCTGTCAAAGCATTAAAGTTCTTCACTGACTGCACTATTAAATGAACCCTGTAAAGCCTGACATATGAAATAATGGTGCCAAATATGTATTTATATTAAATTGGAACTGTTTATGAACCTTCAAACTATGAAACTCAGCTCTTAGAGGGCCACAGTCCTGCAGGACAATGGCCCTCCAGGAACTGCGTTTGACACCTCTGCAGACAAAATCTTTTTTTTTTATCTAAAAAAGAAAGTTTGCATTCAGTAATGAGGGTGGGCAAAACACATAATGTAGTGCAATACAAGAGATGTACAAATAAACGTTCCTCAAAAGCCTGATGGATCTTATTTTTGATGCATTTTAACACGATTTTTCCCAACAGAATTATGGACAAACTTGAAATATTGCTTCATTTTGAAATATTACTGACAATATAAAAGTTATTCTTACATTTACGTTATAAAAAATATACTATAAATAAATATGACTCGAAAAAGAGTGTGTACCTGGACAGGCAGATGTTGCAGACGCGGTCGGTCATGAAGCAGTTGCAGATGAGCATCGGGCTGACGGCAGGGGGTTTGGGTTTCTGATTTAATGGCGCTCTCACGGGGACTGAGCGGTGTTTTGAAGAAACAATCTTACGTGGAATTACCTCCTCTCTTTTAGTTTTTGAAAGCAATCCCTGAAATACAATCCAACAGGTAAAGAGCTGATAGTTATTCAAGTGACAGATGCAACCATTGTGAGAAAAGACGCTAACCTCAACTTTGTCAGTGCCAGGTTTATGAGAGATTGTGCCGTTTATGTTTTTCTCCCCAAATACAGACCGTGGTGCCTTATCAAGTCCCAACAGTTCCTTTGAGAGGAAGGAAATAGGTTTTTGACATGAATACGTTTTCTAAAATAAAACAATATGAACATAGCAAAGCAAACCTGGAAGTAAAGTCCCCCAATGTTACTCATAACCACCATCATTAAAAACTTAATTCATCTATTTAACAAAGAGACAGTGCAGACACCTTGCTGTGTTTAATGCGAGCGGGTGGGCAGGGTCTTTTAGCTGGTGCTTTGGTGCTAGACAGGATGGCAGAGTTTCTGGTGTTGGGTGGTAAAGGCACTAGTTTCTGTTTCCCAAGTGATTCCTCCACCATCTTAGACAACCCTCCACCTTTATGAGCTTTTGCTTTCACCACCTTCAGCAGTTCTATCTGCGTATCAGGAGTGCCCTGCGCCAGGCCAAAGTCCACTAGAGCGTACCTGAGGAACGAGAAAGACGGGAATCAGCACGCTTCAGTTAACTTGGATCTATTCCAGTGGTTATCAGCCTTTTTGACTCCCCCTTTGTCTTAGAAAATGTTCAAAGGCTAATTATGTTAATCTGTTTTAATAAAAATAAAAGGCAAAAATATCAGTTTAATGTTGTGCATTTTATTCTTAGTTAGTTTTTTAGTATTTAGTATTAGTATTATATTAGTAGTTAGTATTATTATTTTTAACCCTCTGGGGTTGTTCGTTTCAGAGTCACACTCGGGATGTTCGGGTCCAAATGGACCCAAATGGCGGGATTCATATTTAAAAAAAAAAAAAAAAAAAAAAAAATCATGATTTTTTTTTTTACTTGTTTTTTATAATATTTTTTCTTTTCTTTTTTGGTGTTTTGAGAAAATTTCAAAAATAAAAAAAATGTATAATTAGTATTAATGCAATAATTATGACAAAATTTCCCCTCATTGAACATAATAGAAAAAATATTTAAAAAAATATATTTTTAAAAAAAAAATTTTAAAGCTGTATTTCATTTTAGAGTCAAGCCTAGGCATAAAAGTAATTTTTGAAATGAGATGGATGTCATCTGGTGGACAAACTGAGCATTTTAAAAATGTAAAACACATGTATAATCTTAATTTTTTGGTGTGTTTGTGTATAAAAGTGTGTTTGTGTGTGTGTGTCTGTTTTGCACTCTTGATGTTTTATAGATTCACCCCTTCACTGTTGTGTGCTTGTTTTCAAGATCGTGGCTGATTTGTAGATTGTACGCACAAAAAAACTCCGTATTTTCACATTTTTGCCAATTTCCCAGTCATTTTTCATGCGGGTCCATTTGGACCCGAACACCCCAAGTGTGACTATTTTTTTTTACAACTACTTAGACTATTCACATCCTGTCCCCAATTTTTTGGGGTGTTCAAATACCAAATACCAACAAAGTCACCAAATTTTGGACCATTCCGAGGCAGCTGTGATTTTTTAAAAAAAAATTATTTAAATTCTTCGGGTCCATTTGGGCCGAACAACCCCAGAGGGTTAATAATATTGTGGCCACTGGCCCCAAAAAGTTAATTCATATACAGGTAAATGTAATTCATATGTAAGAGAATTTATTATCTCTTTATACCATGATGAACATATTTAATTTAGGTTTTTTTCCCACAAACAAGCATTGATCAAAACATGGAGCTCATGAAATATGATACACAGAAGCTACACCGTACTTGCTTGAAATGTGCGAACAAACCTCATAGTTTGTCGTGCGTCAAGCAAGTACGTTTCTGAGCTGCCTTTTACCATATGGATGTATGTTTTTTGATCAATTAACTTTGTAAAGTGTCAAAGTCAAAATTATGGTGGAATGGACTTTCAATGGAGAAACAAAAATCTCACATTTCATTAAAATTATCATTTGTGTTTCGAGGATGAACGAAAGTTTAACGGGTTTGGAACAGCATGACAGTGAGAGGAAAGAAAAATACCTGATTTTCATTTTTTAGATGAACTACATCTATAAATTCCATTAGGAAAGCACATATTAGCATCAAATTGGCTAAGATATTCACAAATTTAAAAGATATTTTAAAGGTAATTTTCCTTTTTTTGTACATTACTTTGCTATAATCTAACGATCATTTAGCCAGTTAAATAACCAAGAAACTGTGGCAATTACATGTGTATCAGGCAGAGAAACTAGACATGAACATTAGGTACATACTCTCTTCTTTGTTGATTGAACAGGAAATTGGTTGGTTTGATGTCTCGATGGATGATGCCAAACTTGTGAATGTGTCTCAAGGCTTTGAGCAGGTGGAAGATGTAATGCTTCACATCCTCAAAACTCAAGGAGCCAACAATATCCTACAAGGAATGAAGACTTTTGGGTGATATCTTGGGTCATGGGTAAACTAGGCTGCGTTTACACAGGCACAACAAATCCGATCTTTTACTCACATCTGTGTTTGTTGCCCACGTGTAAACACAAAAATCTGCATGAGATCCGATTTTTTCGCATCCGATCTGAGCCACTTCCAAATGTGGTTTTAAATCAGACACATATCCGATATCTGGACATCCGACCTACATCTAAACACGCATATCCGATTCGCTTTGAATTCCAAGCCACCACAAGGCGAGGAGGACACATTTATTACGTTTACAAAGACAGCTTTTTAATCTAGTATTAAGGCTGATTTGCCTTTATCTTTGCAAAGGAAAGAAATTGTGCGAACACCGAAACACTCAGGAGCTGGTTTTCAACCTCAGCCTGAATCAAAACAGCTTCACTACTGAAAGCTACATTATATTTACATATTACAGGGCTACTTTATCTAAGCTGTGGATAAACAGAAATTATTTCCGAACTATATATCTGTTACGTCAAATTTTGCGCTGCAAAACATTTATGACAGCTGTTATCTTGAATTATTTAAGTAATTTTAATAGCACGGCCAATCAAAACAAGGGTCTACCATGTGCATAGTAAAACGATAACCGAAAATAATTTTTGGTGGGCATTAATGTAAAGACAGATATCGGGCCAAAGAATCAGATCTGGTCAAAAGATCGGATCTGTGCATTAAAAATTGCAGTGTAAATGCAGCCTTATTCATTGTGTATCATTATTTGGGTTAAAAGCACATATATGAGACATTTACCACAAATGTTTGATGCTCCATGTATGGCATGACAATGACCACGTGATGCTCTTTCCTGAAGCAGTACGTGACTCCAATCACATTTTCTGTTCCACTGCAAAGAAATCTTGTCAAGTAACTCTGAAAGTTTGCTGGTTCTAAAATATCTTTCATAAAATGAACGATGATAGCTCAAAATATGACATGACACATTTTCATTACCCAGCAACAGTCAGGCACTGGAGTTCAGCAGCTATTCGCACAGGATGACTGGTGGGGATCAGGTGTTTCAATGCAAACATCCTTCTTGAACCGTCGGTCATCTGCGCCTCTGCCAAATACACCGTGCTGAAAGTGCCTGTAATCACACAATGATGAAAAAGTTAACTACGGTTAAACAATCAGCAGGAAAAAAAAGTATGATTTATGTGCATTCAAAGCAATTCCATCATTAAGTATAACCAGCAAGAAATTTAATGGCAAACCTTCTCCAATTTTATCTATAATACGAAAAATTCGAGACAGCTGTGGCAGAACTTCATACAGGTATGCAATGTCCGTCTCAACACCTCCTAAACAAAAGAGAATCACATAGGTTCAATTATTTAGGTAAAATTAAATAATTAAACATAAATATCTAAAAAAAAAAATGCTAAAAAAAAAAACATTTCCTTGTGAAATAAAGTACATTTTGGCATATTTTAAAAGAGTGCCGTAAATATTATTTAAATAAACTAATTAAACTGAATGTAATGTTTTTGGACACTTAATTGCCTGTTAAATGAAAATGTATTATAGTTTAAATGTAAGTTAAATGCAATTAAGTGAACTTAAAGGGATACTCCACTTTTTTAGGAAATAGGCTCATTTTACAACTCCCCCAGAGTTAAACATTTGGGTTTTACCGTTTTCGAATCCATTCAGCCGATTTTCTGATATTTAGAAGAATATCAGTTACCAGACAGTTTCTGGTCTCATTGACTTCCATAGTAGCTATATATTTTTTCCTACTATGAAAGTCAATGGGACCAGAAACTGTTTGGTTACTGATATTCTTCTAAATATCAGAAAATCGTCTGGATGGATTCGAAAATGGTAAAATTCAACTGTTTAACTCTAGGGGAGTTGTAAAATTTCCACAAAAAAAGTGGAGTATCCCTTTAAGAGTGCCCTTTTGACCCACTTAAGTACATCTTTACATACAATTTCATAAATACTTCAGTCTTTTACATAAAAGTTCATTGTAGGCTATTGCAAAAATGTACTACTAAGCATTTAAACTAAAATAAACTTTAATGTACTTTCTATAGAAACTTGTACGTCAAGTATTTAAATGTAATTAACGTTACATGTTTGTGTCATTCTAACATTCATAGTGAAAAAGACTCACTCACTGGAAATTGGTCTGCTCCTGCCCTTTTCAACAGTTTGATGAGAGCTCCTCTGCCCAGTCGGTACTGACTCCATTTAATCCCACAATAACCAACAGATCCAATAATGTGGGAGAACTGTTGGATGGCATTAGACACTATAATCCTAAACAGCTCAGCTGTTGATAGTGTTTAACTGAATCCAAATCAGACCAAACGCATCAAAAAGTACCTAAAACACATTTTAACGTCATTTAATAGTGTAAAATTATAGTTTTAAAAACGTTTACCTGTTGTTTTGTACAGAACACCGTACCAGTAGACTGTATCCGATGAACAACTGCACGCACTGGCGTAAACACACAGCTACCGCACAAAGTTCATAAGTTATGTTAAGGGCTTATTTTGATATTAAACAGTAAATTCATCGCCGCGTCAAACACGTTTATCGCGCAGATAAAAGAAAACGCAAATATTTTAATAAACACACAACTAGGTCTAGATCGGAAATGTCTTTCTTCCAGACGAACTCCAAGTTCCGCGCTAAAAACTGAGACTCAGGTCACGTGATCACCTAGCTAATGCATAGCTTATTAGCTTCCCTTAAGCAAAAGTTTTAAGATACATTATGAAGTAGATCCTTGGCTGATATTAATTCAATGATGGCTGTCATTTTATATGGAACCCCCCTCCCAAAACAAACTCAAAATAATACATTAAATGCTCAATTAATAAATGAAATTTACAAATTAGCATCTCATGATGAACAGTATGAGATGCTATTTTTTTTTTACAGTGTTAAATCCAATTTAATTTCTTCATTTAATGAATCATAAACTTTTTTAAGAAAAGTAAAATGAAATACAGTTTGTGTTTATATATTTCATAATTTTAAAGCAACTTAACCATTTAATGAAGGGGTTTCATTAGTATTGAATATTTTATTCACAAAAATATTGAAAGACAACTTACGTTTTGTTTTTGTGATTTTGTACAACTATTCATAATTTGTATTGTAAAATAATTGGTGTGTAAGTGGTTTGAAGATTTAATTTTTTGTTACCCGTTTGCTTTTAACGGGATAGAAGGCTTTTATTTTGAAAAACCTTTATCGCGCTGACGCATGTTCTTTTCCGGTGCGGATCAGAAAATTAAATTTACTGCTTTTTGCCACTGATCTACAATGTAGTAACCTAAAACAAATAAGTGTAGCTAGAGCTGGAGTAAATAAACTCTTTAAAAGCGTTCACATCAGGGTTTTGATCATGGATAAATTTGTTGTTCGGTTACCAAAGGGAGACCGGGTGAAACAGGAACCAAAACAAAAGAGGAATTACAAACAAGCAACATTAGAGTCCCTACGGGTAAGTCATAGCTCATTTTACTCTGCCCATCAGTCTTCACCAGATGTGCTATATTATTGATATCTGCATTTATTTATCTACATATTTGTTCCAGAGAGTGGTCGTGATTGAAGACATTGAGAGGTACAAGTCAATACTTGAACTCCCTGGCCAAGCTAAAGAGAACATGATAGAAGCCTTAAAGGAGTTGGACAAGAAAGTGCCTTCCAAAGAAGTGCTAAAGACTACTAAAATTGGTAAAACTAGCTGATTCCTATCTAGTTTTATCACTGTCTTTTCAAATCAACCCCATCAAATCATATACTAATTTCAGCCCCACCATTTTCATTTGTATCTCTACAGGACACACAGTTAACAACCTTCGCAAACACTCTGAAGATCCTGAAATCAAGTCCCTTGCGGGGGAGGTGTATAAACACTGGAGGACCTTTATTGAGGAACATGCAAATAAACCTTCCATAGAAGTTCGTTGTGATAAATTGACAGAAAGTTTAAGGAGCAATGCCAAGAAACTGCTCTCTGAAGCAATTGCGTTGAAGGTACTGATCCTAATTGACCATTACAATTTCAGTTATTATGCTTTCATTAGTTTCTTGCTTCATTTAAATTCTGGAATGGTATTATTAAATATAATCATGAAACAGTTGTACTTCGCATGCATGTTGTGTGATTCTTTTCCTGCCTGTCCAGGTGGAGCATGGACTGGTGGAGAACATTGAGAGGGAGGTCTTCCACCAGAGCTCTCGGCTTGTTAGCAGAGCTTACAGAAGGACTGTGAGGGCTCTTGTCTTTGCTCTGAAACATAAGCCTGAGTTGAGAGCTCAGGTCAAGGACGGCAAATTACCAGTTAATTTATTCGTCTGCAATCACAAAAAGAAACTGTAAAGAATTGAAGGATTCAGACTTGTGACCTAAAGAAAATATTGTTTACCCATTTCATTTAAAAAAATATATATTTATACATATTTGACATACTCATTGACTTGGAACTTGGATTTTTAACTTTCAATCTTAAATACAACATTTGACTTTTTTACATCTCATTTGTCAGAATGTTTCTTTCCCTTCACAGCTACACTGCTGGTCAAAAGTTTTTAAAATGTCAAATCTAATTTATTTCTGTGATGCAAAGCTTAATTTTCTGCATCATTACTCCAGTCTTCAGTGTCACATGATTCTTCACAAATCTTTCTAGTATGATGATTTGCTGCTCAAGAAACATTTCTTATTATAATCCATTTAAAACAGTTTTGCTGCTTTATATTGTTGTGGTAAAGGTGACACTATCATTAAAAGTCTCAGGTAAGTATGATCTTAAAAATAGAAATTAATACTTTTGATTCAAGAGACATTTATAACATTTAAAAATAGTTATTTCAATAATTTCAAATAAATTGCTGCTGTTTTAACTTCCTATTCATTGAATCCTGAAAAAAATGATCACAGTTATCACAAAAATATTAAGCAGCAACATTGATAATAATAAAAATCATAATTGAGCACCAGTAATAATTAAGCTTAAATTAATTAAAAAAAAAAGTATAAAAATAGAGATGTATAAAGTCCTTATGTATTTATTGTGTGGCGCTCCTATAGACCTTATGAAGCCCCGCTCGTTGTGTTCTATTTTCCGGTTTGTATTTCCACAGCATGAAGGATATATCTTATGGATTTATGAAAGAGCCGCTCGTTTTATAATCTTCCCATTCTACTGACATTTGTTATGACATCCACTTCAAACATAACAATGCTCATGCTACAATAAGTAAATCCACTTTCTCTGGTGTATAAGGTTTATAGGAGCACCAACCACACAATAGCAATTAACATGAGGATGACAGCAAGAACACAGATACTGATGAAGATGATGTCACTAGTGTCATGCGGTTCACTTTCTTCTGCGACTGTCTTGTTCTTTGACTCCTGGGCCCGGCGGGCCTCTTCATTGAGCCGGATACGTTCCTCAACTGTGATGATGTTGGCCATGGCCACCTTCCTCTGGGCGTCACACTGCAACTCATATTCCTGAATATTCTGCTGCGATCCATCAGAGAAGTTGATATAAAGCGAGTTGACCAGCATGGTGATGTTTTGCCGTTTCTGCAGAAGATCAGATAGGATATGAGGCATCATAATGTTGATTTGAACAAAGCCATATTTAAAAGCTGCTATAAGACTATCAGACATTTCAATTAGACCTAGGACCGTCACTGAGAAAAGTGTAGGAAACTAGGGGTGTTTTAAGTGTGGTATCCCACAAAAGAATCTGCACTTTAACCAGTGTCTCTTTATCTTATATACCTGTCCAGCAGTTTCACAGTTGACAAAACGGGCTAGAATTTTGTAGGATGTTTCTGTCAGCTGGGCCGAACAGGATGGATTCCCCAGGTAAATTTTTTCACGGTCCAGCTGAGGTAAAGCCTGTCTGGAGATCAGAATCTGAAACTCAGTTCGTGTGCAGCTTACATTGACTGGCACCACTGCAACACAAAGACAACAACAAAACATCAACTATTCAGGTTGAGGTCAATGAATAGCTATGATAGGCTATGTAATGCTGTGATGGAAGAATTTGACAATTCTTTTAGTTCTTGTTTTGAGGAATGAATATTTTGGGGAACAAATGCAATTCTGTTACTAAGTAATGAGAATCTCAGAAATAAATACATTTTAAAATTCTTAATCAACTTTTTTTGGAGTCATAAACTCTATGAGCCTACATACACACTAAGTAACTTATTGGAGAAAAAACAAACAAACAAAAAAACACATTTTAATTAATGAGAAACCCATTTTCCAAACCATGTACCCAATAGCCTACACTTTTGATAGACCTATAATAATTTACATTTTATAACTGTCGGGGCGGATTTGGCGGGAAATTGCGTACATTCTCTCTGTGTAGCCTGACGTCATATAATCAAAAAATAAACTCTATAATTTTAGGGCTTCGGGTCATTTTGACCCGCGACGGAAGGATTTCTTACAGGTAAGGGAAGAGAGATGGGTTGGTTATGGACCATGGATAATTTAAAACGGTTACAAAAACAAAACAAAACCAAAAAAACACGTTATTTATCCATCCGGCTCTCTTAAGCTGTCATATCTGTGTAGGCCTACACCGCGCGGTGACTCGATCCACATTCATCCCCACGGAGGAGCAGAGCGGAAGCGCAACTAAAACAATTATTTTATGTATTTGTAACCACTTGAGGGCCAATTCCAAATACAAAGTGTAACGTTAGCTCAAATAACAACAACAAATATGAGGTTACTCCGTCATTATTATTTATAGCCTATGATTGACGGTTCCATGAAGGATCTTACATCCATAAAACCTTTTCATTCAAAAAAAAAAAAAATGGTTCTTTAGTGGAGAAAAGCTCTTCATATTTTTTAAATGTTCTACACAATAAGGAAAAAAAATAGTTATTTTAAAAACTGTACACTGAAAGGTTCTTTGGGGAACTATGGCATTGCTGTGAAAAAACCCTTTCAAGAGTGAACCTAACTAAAATACTTGCGTCTACTTAGGCTGCTGAACGTGTTGAATTCTACTGTGCTGTATGTTTTTGTTTCATAGGCTCATCTGGTTCCCAAAACTACTTTTAGAAGGATGAATTCAAAAGTGAGCACTCACCTCCTATGTAGGAAGCTGTGAAGCCCTTAAAGGCATAGTTCCGGTCAGTGTTGAGAACAACCAATAGTTTATTTCCCTTAGAGGTCAACGATGGAGGCTGTTCACTACCACACCACTGGCCCAACAGAGTGTCAGTCTCGCTGTCCCCATCGTACACAGTCACAGAGTCATAGCTGCACGTCTCGGTCAGGCTGTTCCGATCCTCAAGCTCCAGAAAGGTGAAAAATAGCTTGACCCTGTAGCCGGCCGCTAGAGTGATTGTCCAGTGGCAGTTGATGTTATTGGGGTAGATGTTTGGGAAGTGAGGGCTAGTAAAGTTCCCACTGATATTTTTGAGTATTTGCTGGCACTCTCCTTTAAAACAAAACAGCAAGATCAAGGATTATGCACTTGAAATGTTATTATGAGATTATGCATCTTATATGACAACAAGTGTCTCGCCTGAGTAGTAGTAGGCTTTAAAACCTCTCCCTCCGATGTTGAAGTCAGATTTGAAGACCACCAGCAGTTGGTTTGATGTGGTGACGGTGTTGGGAGGTCTCTCATTACCGCAATAATTGCCCAGGTGATGGTGTTTAACAGTGGGGCCATCAAAGAGAGCCACATAGTCAAAGTTGCACCCCTCGTTGTTTTCCAACTGAAAGTCGAGAAACACCAGGCTGACTACACTCTGATTGGACACATGTACAGTCCAGGAGCAGTCGGCATTGTTGCTGTAGTCTTGTGGATGACCTGGGCTTGAGATGACTCCTGAAAGACCGGTCAAAACCCCACCGCACATATCTGTTTTAGAGAGAGAAACAAATGTATAAATTGATTTATACAATAAAACACAGTTTACTGGATGACATTTTGGGTTATTTGTGACCCAGAAAACAAAGCAAAAAAAAAAAAAAAAAAAACCATAGTTTTTAGAATGGCAACAAAAGACCATCGAACCAGATAATACAATTGCATTATAAAAATTGATCAAGTGTTTATGCATGTAAAATGAATATTTATGTGACTGTTTATATATTTGTGACTGTTTTTGAGAAGTCAGGAGTTATAAGTTCAAAGGAATTTAATTAAGTTAATAATTATGTGACAAATAAATGTTTTATTAAATAATATTCTACATATTCTGTTGGGTAATATTCTGCATATTCACTCATTAAAGAGAAATATCAAATACAATATGTTTTTTGGTGGAAAATATTATAGGGTTCACCCAAAAGTTTTGTAAAAAAAATAATTTGTTCATCATTGAAGTACAAATGCAGATATTTTAAATTAAATCTGAGAGATTTCTGTCCCGTTGCCATTCGCAACTACCCCTTTGTCGCTTTTTTGAACCAAAAAGTTCGTAAAGAGATCGTAAAACGAATCCATTTGAATTGAGTGGTTTCGTCCAAATTTTCTGAAGAGACTTTATAAAAGTAACAGACTAAATCAGGCCTTTTTTCACATATATTAAATATACATATAAGTTCACACATACGAAAGTCTTACAGGTTTGGAATGAGGGTGAGTAAATTATGACAGAATTTTAGTTTTTGGGTGAGCTAACCCTTTAAGTTGACTGTTTTTTTGCATTATAAGCATCAAATGGTCATGACAGGAGTTGAATGATGGGTAATAACAAGTTTAGTAAGCAATTTCATCACACTAGACATATGTTATCAAATATAATGTTGAAGTTTTATGGCAATACTTCCAAAACAATGTGTATTCTAATTTACAAATCTGTGCAACGTATTGTCCCATAGACTTCCATTCTAAATGAATTACAGTGAACGCAATATTTCAAATGTTCAGTTGCGCTCCTCACCTTTCCTATAGCCCACCGAGAAACCCTTGCGTGCAACATGGCGGTCTGAATGGAAGATAATGGACATGACGTTCCAGGACGAGCTGAACTGAGGTGGAGACACATCTCCACAGAATTTCCCCAGGAGGTTGCCCTCATCCTCGGAGATGCCGTTGTATAGCTTGATGTAGTCGTAGGCACAGTCCGTATGGTATTCCAGCTCAAAGTGTTGGAAGGTTAACAGTACGGAAGAGCCATCTGAGACCACTATCAACCAGGTGCATTCAGTGTCATAAGGGTACAGGCCTGGAAAATTAGGACTTGACACATTGCCACTGCTTGCAGAGAGGATTCCTCCACATTTAACACCTATTCAAATATTACACAGTTGAATCAAAAACAAAGCATTCAAGATTTACATTTGATCAGTATGCGTAACCTAATCAATAATGACTATTGAATATTCTTGTGTTTAAGACAAAGATGCACTAAAAACAATCACATAATTAGGAAGCTGCCTTACAAGCTCAAGGAAGAACTGAGGTGTTTACAATGGTACAACATTCATTCGGTGTGCACTTTCACCCATGTGATAGGAAGCCGTCTTACCTTTCTTGGAGGTGACCTTTCCAGCAATGAACAAGACGTGAATGAAGACATTTATCCTTAAAACCATGTTGTTTCTTTTAGTATGCACTGCAGCATTTAAGTTCTTCTACACATACTATCCGGCAGGGTTCAGAGAACGGGAGGAATATTAAAGCTCTTCATTCTTTGGACTTCTCTCATTCTTGGGCAATTGGATAGGTGGTCCACTCACTAAATTTTAATGAGGACTATCAAATGCACGCAGGTGGCTTGTCAATACACTGTTCGGAGAGAAAGCCATGAAATGTTAATGAGTGTATCGTGCTCATGGAACAAGTGGTGTGTTTTAAGTTGATAAGAGGAAGGGACACGCAGATGACCACATGTATTACAAGCCGTCTTAATGCTGCTGATGTTTTAAAGTTTAACATAAAGTCATTATTATTAAATGCAATTCAACAGGGCAAAGCTATGAAATAGACCTTAGGATTTTAATAATGGGAATTATTGTTATCATTAGTATTTTTTTTTAAAGTAGGGCCTGGGAGGTTTGGGTATTTTTATTCAAACAATACAAAAACAGGACTTACTTTTTATATTAAACAAGACGCTGATGCAAGAACAAATAATAAAGACAGAATCATACTATTTTGTTGCATGTTACATTAAAAAACACCAAATGGCACAAAAATTATATAATGTTACATGACAATATATTATATTAAAACAATCGGAGCAGACTTTCAAAAACGTTTTATTTTACAAATATGTTGATGCGTTGATACAAGAACAAATAATAAATAAATAAAAAGACAAATAAAAAAAAGAATCTTTAAAAAATATTATACTTTATATTTTGTTTCGTTATATAGGCCTATATGATTTAAAAAGCACCAAATGGCACACAAATATTACGCATTATATTATATTATATTCAAAAAGCTTCTTTTTATTTTACAAGAAAAATTTGTTACACATCCATTACATATGTGATTTAAACCACCAAAACCACCAAGTCCTTTTGGAATAGCAAGAAAATAGATTCAGATTTATATTATGAATATTATAATATATTATGAACATAGATCAGTGGCTTTTTGAGTGCGATGCAGCTTCAGACCTGAATACCTGCACGTATCAATAGATGGCAGTGATGACGCTTAATGTCTGTCAACACGACATTCACTGACTCCAGAAGAAGACACTCACTGCGTGACGTCACACAATCATGGCCGCCTCCTGAGTGCAACGAGAAAATGTCATAGCGACGAGCATCATTGTTTAGTTGTTTTTGGCTAATATATCAATTTTAGACATCTTTTGTATACTTTTGGTAAAATGTTTAACGCAACAGTGCGAAGGATAAGGACACCGGCATTTAAAATAACTAAAATCTGCAAATCAAAAGACTGTCATAGTGTCCTCTATATGATTCCTCATGGACGTCGCTTCTTGTCCACCAGCTCTTGTTTATATGGGAAGATTCTTCCGAGGAAGAAACCTCGGGTGGTCCCCGAAATAGCCGGACTGGAGCCGATCACTTATGCTGACAGGATGCACTTTGTACCAGGACTGGCAAAGCCTTGGTTTCCTCCCTGGGACCGTGGATGGAAAGATCCGACTCACTATACGTCCCCCAAACTAGAAGACATGCCTCTACATAAAGACAAACCCTGTTACATGTTTAATCAGAGGACGAATGTGCTGGAAGGTAGTGATAGTTTTTATCTGTGCGTTGTTGTGGGTGAAAATTTAAGTTGTTTAATTTTTCTCTGTCACGATAACAGTGAATATATAAACTTTGGTTTGATATGTGTGTAACAGCGGATAATATAGGATTGTGATCTGTTTGTAGGTGTTCGACAAGCCCTCTGGCTCAGTAAGTCAGTCATCATTAAAGGTTTACCTGCTCAGATTCTCACCCTGGCTGAAGATGCAGCCAATCAGATCGAGAATCAAGATGAGAGAGTACAGGACGCCATTAAAAACTCCAGGCTGTGGGACACTACAGAACCCCGGCCGCCCAGAGAGAGGTTCTGGTGGGTACCCTATCCTCATTTCTGATAACACTTCTAAAGTGTCTACAAACAACAAAGCTTCTTTAATAATACGGTCTTGTCATGAATGCAATTCCTTAAAGGGTTAGTTCAACCAAAAAATGAAAATTCTGTCAGTATGTACTCACCCTCATGTTGTTCCAAACCTCTATGTGTTTATTTGTTCTGCTGAACACAAAGGAAGATATTTGGAAGAATGTTTTAATCAAACAGATATCATTCCCCATTGACTACCATAGTGTGTATTTTTTCCTACTATGGTAGTCAATGGGGAATGAGATCTGTTTGATTAAAACATCCTTTGTGTTCAGCAGAACAAATAAACACAGAGGTATGGAACAACATGAGGGTGAGTAAATACTGACAGAATTTTCATTTTTGGGTGAACTAACCCTTTAATTAGCAATTGATCTTTAATAATGAAGTCATAAAATCACTAGATAGCCTATCATGACACCAGCAGCTTTTTCATTAAATCAGAACACATTTACTTAAAAAAAACAAAAAAAAAAAACTTTTGCGGATAATTTACTCACCCCCGTGTCATCCAAGATGTCCATGTCATTCTTTCTTCAGTCGAAAAGAAATTAAGGTTTTTGATGAAAACATTCCAGGAATTTTCTCCATATAATAAACTTCAATGGGAACCAAACGTTTCAAGGTCCAAAAGACAGTTTCAGTGCAGCTTCAAAGGGCTTTAAACGACACCAGACGATGAATAAGGGTCTTATCAAGCGAAAACGATCGCTCATTTAAAAAATAAATAACAAAGCTGAAGTTTTATAAGCTCAAATGGTCACCTTGCTCTGTTCTGTGATGCTCTGTTCTTTGTGACTCTCCTGTTCGAACTCGTTCGTCAAAATGAACGAATCTTATCCCGAGTCAATTCGTCCAAATGACACAGAAAAAGATTCGTTCATTTTGATAAACGAGTTCGAACAGAATTAAACAACTGTTTTATAGGGGTTTCATTTAAAATAATGTAAGTGAATAGATTATTATGAATATAATTATTATACTTTTTATGAATATCTAAAAAAAAAATCTTACCTTAATTAAAATGCAAAAAAACATACAATTTCAGTTTCAGTGAATAATATATTCTTCTTATTCTAGTTTAAGAAAAGCATGTTTAAAAGCAATGTATATATATATATGAAGAGTTCAGATGCAAAAGCCTCTAAGTGCCATTTGAAAATTTCTTCTAGAATGATCATGTTTATCAAGCTTGTATAATTAAGTTCAGTGATTTTACTTAAATGGCAATGATAATTACCTATTAATTGTTATTTAAGTGAAATTACTGAACTTAAATATACAAGTTTGATAAAAATCATCATTAAAGAAGAAAATTTCAAATGGCATTTAGAGGCTTTTGCATCTGAACTCTTCATATATATATAGCTTTTAAACATGCTTTTCTTAAACTAGAATAAGAAGAATATATATATAGATAGATAGATAGATTATATAGGCATACATCACAATTGTACCATGGAAGCATTACATTGAAAGCAGTGCCACCATAAACATGCGGCTCATTCTGTTCATCTCTGCACAATAAACAGACCCACACACGGGAGCTACTGTCCCCTCTAACCCAGCGCTTCATAATTGGCTCAACAGCTTCAATATGGAAGGTGGCATTTGGCCCGGTCCGCGGCGCTCTGATGGAGTGTTGAATTTAATGACGGTCATTAAACACGGGCCGGTCTGCATTCCCAGCAGGCAGCGGCTCTGTAAAGCCTTTATTAATTAATACTGCCCCTGGGAGGTCTGCCATTCATATGAGCCTCTTTGATATCTCTCATCTCCCCGGTTAAAGTCTGCCCTTTGGTGGCTGTTTTATCTCCCAACTACTGCTGGCCCTTAACATTTTCCTTCTCACAAAAACCCGTCCCAGCACGAGCACGAAAAGGCCAGATTGACATTGACACGAGGTGACATTACACTCGGGGAACATACGTTTAGTGAATTGGGAATGTTCCCGTTCTGTTCGGCATGAAGCATCAAATGGGTAAAAGAAGGTGTTTTATGTGGTAAACATTATTTGAGATTGTATTTTGTTTTCCTCTATAGTCCCTCGCTCTTGCACAGACTGCTTCACCTGTGTGGCGGCCTGCAGGTCACTCGTCCTGAGCTGGCCAAGAGGATTCTTGCTGAGAAATACAGTTTGGCAGCGACCTGGAGGAGAGGTGGGTGTAAATTGGGCCGCATATGTCTTCTGCTTCAGTCTGAGTCTAGATTTTTGCATTTATGTGCATTTCATCTGCTATTAGTAGTCGACCAAATATTGTTTTTGTTTTTTAAATGGCCAGTATGGATGTATACATAGAGTAACGTTCAGAAGTTTGGGAACGATAAGATTTTAAAATGTTTAATGCTCTCAAAGGCTGCTTTTATATGATGAAAAATACAGTAAAATTTGTGTAAATTGTAAAAAAAAAAAAAAAAATATTAATTTAATATATTTTAAAGTGTCACACGATCCTTCAGTAATCATTCTAATATAATGATTTGCTGCTCAAGAAACATTTTGAATTGAATCGAAAATATTTATATTTTTATGAAAACAAAGACATTTTTTATGGGGGGTGTGATTCTTTGCATTTATGTGAAATATAAATATTTTAAGATAATTGTCTTTAATGCAATTTTTGATGATTCTAAAAAAAAAGGATTACGCTATAACATTTGGTTTTAAAATGGCATACAGAAAATAATGAAATGATCGCAATTACAATAATTTTTGAAAACAGAAAAACACTTTTTTTCACATTTTCACTGGGCACAATTTTGACATTGATACCATAGGGAAAAACTACCATTTAGATATTTAAAAAAAATATTATCTCATTATTTGGTAGCACGTATATTAGGCTGCTGTCACTTTAAGACCTGATGCAGGGACCGATTATAGTTACACAAATGTTTTCTTTCTCAACTGTTTACATTCACTTAAAACATAACTATGTTTTTTTTTGTTGTTGTTGAAAACACTATGTGTGGATCAAAACCGGGGAAAAGGCTACCACTTCTGTTACTTACTATGCAAAACTCATCTGTTTCCAGGAGAGGACGTGTTCCAGGTCAGAGGTCAGAACGGGTTTCTGTTGAACTCCATGACCCCTGTACCCGTGTTGGCTGGAGAGGAGCAGATCCAGAGCACTGCTGATCAGGCTCTGGAGACCTTCTACCCCATCGCGCCCACCATCGACCTGCAGTGCACACACGTCTACCAGGAGAAGAACGACACAGGTCAGCCGCTGGCTTCATTCGCGTCTCACCCTGTGTTTAAATCATGCCTCGTGGTAGTTTGAAATCATGTCCACGTTGCGGTTCATTGTTTCCTTTCGCCAGGTTTCAGAGAGGGCTATCCTTACCCTCATGCCCACACTCTCTTCCTGATGGAGATGGGAAACACCCCAAAGCTCTTGCCTGAGCAGCTCCGTGCTAAGATGGTAATGTTCACCTTTGGAAACGCGCTGGCCCGAGCACAAGCCCTGTACGGGGTAAGATCCTTACATCTTTAAAAGATTCATTAGAACTATAGATGAGGGCTGGACAATATATTGAGTAGGGATGCACCGATATGACAATTTTGGCTGATACCGATAACCGATAATTCTTTATATTTGAAAGCCGATAACCGATATATTGGCCGATAAATCTAAATCCAAATTTTTAGACAATTTTTGAGAGCCTGATTATAAAAAAGGCTCCTCATTAAAAGCTAAGATACAATTATGATGTTCTTATTTTAATGTTGGGTAGCCGATATGAAAGACTTTTGCACTTTAACACTTTTGCACTTTTTTAAAGTGATTTAAATCGTATTTCAAGCTATTTAAAAGCATCATGTTGAACAGTGCGCATCTAAAGTGCCTCAGCTGAAGGAAATAATACATTATTTATCGACTTTTATCGGCTAAATTTATTTATTCGGCTAAATATTCTTGTTGGGCCGATAACGATAACATTAAAAATGATCATATATCGGCCGATACTGATAATGTGGCCGATATATTGTGCATCCCTTATATTGAGTGTTTACGATGTACATTACTGTTTTTTATTATATATATTTTAGAATTATATATATTTTTAATGCAAATACTATTATTCAGCAAGGATGCATTAAACTGACCAAAAGTGACCAAGACTTTTGTAAAATTGGGAAAAAAAGGTGTAGGTAAAAAAAAATTCTGTTATTTTGTACTTTTTCATCAAAGAATCCTAAAAAAACCCCCAAAAAAACAGAATCATTCCACAGAGCCGTGTAATAATATTATTATATAATATTAATTGCAAGTTCAAACTGTTTCAATGAATTGACTGAAAACTGGTTCAGCAAATAGTTTTCAATAATATTAAAATATGTTTGCTGAAATCTCCAAATGGCATTTTTATTAGTTACAAAATGTATGTAGCTAAATAGTGCCGTTTGGTTATATTGGTGCATAACATATTTATTTAGAGAAAAAACATGTCAATGACATTCCTTGATGCATTCATTGAAATGATTTGAGTTTGTCAATAATAACAAAGCAAAAAAAGTTGCTTACAGACAGATGTCCTGTGGTCTTCCTGCAGAAAGAGCCCAGAGTTCTGGAGAAGCCCATCGTGGTGCAGAGTGTGGCCACTAATGGCCGTCTCTTCCAGTTCGTGGTGTTTCAGCTCAACACCACTGACCTGCAGTCTGACAGCGGAGTGAAGAATCTGGTGTGGGTGGACGAGGACCAGCCTCTCTACAAGTTTGCCAAAGTCCGGCCTTTTATCAAGAAGAAAGTTGTCAAGGTAAAGATTCGAGTTTGTTCAGATACATGTACTTTGTCAATCAAAACAGCACTGCTTCTTGAACTGTGCAGTTTGATGCAGGTCAGTGTGTTATATGGATACAGTTTTTATCATGTTGTAGGGAATCTGACATGTAAGAGAGGCATAACCTAAATATTAGACTTGGACTTACCAAAGTTACAGTAGTGTTCATGAAGCCTCAAATCACAACAGTCTGGGGCTGGATGACTAATTTTCTGGACGACTTTTCTAAAGGCGAGTTAAAAAAAAGAAAGAAACTAAAACAATTTAGACAGAAGGTGAAAACAGGTGCTGCAAGATTGTACGTTTTAAGATTTTTTTGGGGATTTATTTGTCATGGTTTATTCAAAAATATTAAACCAGCAACAACTATTTTCGACATTTGTAATAATAATAATATATGCTTCTTGAGCTGTAAATCAACATATTAGAGTGATTTCGGAAGGATCATGCGTCACTGCAGACTGTAATAATGATGCTGAAAATTCTGCTTTGTCATCACAGGAATATTTACATTTTAATTTATATTAAAATAGAAAACAGTTATTTTAAATTGCAATGTCATTTCACAATATTGATTAAATAAATGCAGGCTTGGTGAGCAGAAGAGTCATCTGTCAAAAACGGTGTGGCCTCTCCATCAAAAATATGAACTTCAGTTAATGCTAAGGTTCTTATTTTTGGTTAAACATTGAATTATGTATTTGTTTCGACTGTCTCTGGCGAGTTGTGCTGTTCACTGCAGAAAGCCACCGTTTGTTTTGTTTTACAAAGAAACATTACCTGCTTTGAAAGTCCCGAACGATACTTGGAATGCTGTGGTCAACAAATCTCAATTCCAGTAATTGAGTTGTGAAATATAAGAAGGTGGTGTGAAGTTTTCTGTTTTGTGTGACCTCAGTCGTTATTGTTGGTTTGCTGACTGAACGTGTCGTGCTCTTCATTTGTAGGTCCCTGCTGGTTTGTCAGGATATCAGCCTAACACCTTCAACAAGTTCCTGGCGCTCTACCTACATGGAGCAGCGTGAGCAGACCAAAGCACCTCTGTCACACTTCAATATCTCATTAAATATACTAAAATAAAGAACTCTGAATAAAAAGTTGGTCTAAACATGACTGTTCCTTTAAATGTCTTATATATATATAATAAATGTTTCTATCAGTATTAGATACATGTACGTTTATTTGCAGAAGACACGAGACCGAAACAACAGTGGTATGAACTGAAAAATAATTTAATCATAAAAATTACACAAGTCATTTTACCGCATCTTCCAAAGAACATAATATACATCGTAAAGGCTAAACAACATGGTGTAACAGGTCAAGAGTGGCCATACAGCACCATGACAGACTAAAGAAAACTTTAAAAGATATATAGTTACATAACTGTCCTTTGGGTGTTTGCCGCACGTCTTCAACTGTGCCTAAAAGCAAACAGCAATGGGTCAAAAACACAATATAACAGCACAAGGACAATGAGAACGAAGCCCGTGTGAAAAGATGCAGTGTTATATGATAGTGTCGTTACGTTTGGCTGAACTGCCATCCAAAAATAATCTCATATGTCGTCTGAGGTTCCCATTAAAAAGTGGAAAATGCCACGAAGTCTTATGGCTCATTACAAAAGGCTTCTGCAGTAAAATCTACTGTTACAAAACAAAAAGACATGAAACCAAAGAAACAAAATGTTAATTTTGCTAACAATCCATTGCATTCCCAAGTTTGCGATGAAAGGACGGACGGCGGATTTGTTTGCGATTCCCATTGGTGCATATAATCAAATCCGCTGTAGCCAAAGCTGTTCCTCTGGATTAAGTCATTTTCCGAAGCTATTACGGTGCGATGAACTTGTTTACAAGCTTTTTAAGAGATCAGAGACTAGATCCTAAAATACTCATGGAATGTTACACAGACGCTGTAGAAGAACATCCACAGTGCGAATATCGTCACGGTCCCGACGGTTTGACATCCATCTAACAAAAAGAAGCTAATTTATCTCGCTCTTGTCCTGTGTGGGCTTCTATGTTAAAATGATACGAAAATATTTAAGTGGTTTAAAATGAGGGAGCTCCCATCTCAGACAGGTCCTTTCTGGAAGCAGATTTCATCTGTCCGTGCTGAAATTAGGAGCATGCACCTCATCCAGAGCTGCGGTGGGATTTTGGTTCTCATAGATGTGTGAGATTAGACTCACTCTGGTTCTTGGTGAGGTTGGTCCCTGGTCTTTGAGACACCTACGTGTGGCGTCTTGGAGCTGAAGCTCGTCTTTCACACACTCATTGTCATTGTCGGTGAGTACTGAAGAGAGAAAGAAGCGTTTATTTAGACAGAAGCCCATAAATTCATTGTTATAATGTCATGTGTTCGTGTGTGTGCTGATGCTCACGCTTTCATTTTGGAACGAGTGAAGGAAGCTTCCACCCAGTTCACTGTCGTCTCGTGGCGTTCCTGGCGGGTTACTCATGCCGCTCAGATTATTAGGGGAGTTCTATGATTGTAAAAAAATAAACAGTCGGTGGTATTAGTCATTATAAAGCAGATTGATCCGATCCTTCATTATGATCAAAGCTTCAATATGATAAAAACACACGTAACCTCATTACTTTAGGATAACTGTTCTTTGTCTTAGATGGAATGTTTTTGTGATTTATGAGGAAAAAATTTGTAATTATAGGCATTTGACATTATATTTGAAAGACATCACTACCAAGATTAAGTAGGCCTAAATGATGAGTCTTGAGTTTTGTTTAGATAAATAATCCTTTAGGTAAATGTATATATATATATATATACACACACACATTCTAATATGCTGGTTTGCTGCTCAAGAAACATTTCTTATTTTTATTAATGTTAAAAATAGTTATGCTGCTTAATATTTTTGTGGAAACATCATTGTCTTTAAAATCACTTTTATTCAATTTATTGGATCCTTGCTAAATATAAGTATTAATTTCTTTTTTAAATAAGACATAATATTTTATAATATTCCCTGATTTTTCAAGCCTAGAAAGGACTAATTTAAAATGATATTTCCATGTTTTCCATTATAAAAAAAACGAAATAATTATATGAATATGATAATAACACAGTTGATTTTTATGCAACTATTAAAAGGCTTGATAATCACTTTTTATTTAAAGTGAAACAATTTGTTAAAACTAAAATAACTTTATTTATTTATTTATTTTAAGTTTATTTGAATAGGGACAAGTATGTTACATAAGCTACAACATTTTAGCCGAGAATAATTCTCAATGTTAGTCCCTAGTGGGCCTTTACATAAAATTACACAATACATAGTTAAAATAAACATTATAATACAATATAACACAATATAAATGCAGTGGACTCTGATTAAAGAGTCTTTAGGATTGTTTTTGAAAACTATGTTCATGTTTAGTTTAAAAATCCATTACAATACCAAAGTCTTGGAAGTTTTGAAATTTTAACAACAACCTATGCCAGACCCCTCATTAAAGTTCAATCTCAGTCATATTCTAACATGAACAGACATGCTGTGCTAGTTTTCAGATGATTTCGACAGAAATAATAGGTTGAATAATACCTTAGGGAGTCCATCTATGTCACCCGAACCTGTGAGAAAAGTAAAACTGAATCATTTGCAGATCTTTAAAAATCACATGATGTTCACTGATCTAATTGGGAGGGCAAAAAACAAACAAAAACAAAACAAGCAATGTTTTGAAAAATTGATGTAGTTGCCATGGTGAATCGTGTTTTACCTAATGAGCCATTCATGTGATGCGGCTCCAGTCCTCCCATTGGGCCGTCTGACCCTGGACCCATAGGAAACTACAAACACAGACAAGAGAGCATTTAGAGGGAGATCAAACACACAATCCATGCAGCACACAGGAACAGTAACTCACACTAGATCTGTTTCCTCCTGGTGGGACTGAGTTTATCAATGTGTAGAGGTTTTCACCCGAGTTAGTGGAGTCTGTCAACACAGAGGGGGAAGTCACCATGAAACTGTTCTCACGTCACGTCGCCAGGCACCATTTGTGTCTTAAAGGGCCAGTAATGTTGGCAGTAGACCGAGATTTGAATGTGATAAGCCATTACCTGCTGGACTTGGCATGATAGGTGTTCCTGGAGGACATCCACCGCCTCCTGCTCCTCCCGGAGGACCCTGTGAAAGCAGGACAGCAGAGACTGAAGCCTTCATGACAGACAATATCATGAAAAGGAAAAAGAAACGCTCAGTTACCACGTATGTTCCTGGGGATGATGAGGAATATGGGATCTGTGAAGCCAAAAGTTTATTTATCAGCCAGGATTTTCCAGATATCATCACTAGTTCGTTCTTTATAACATGAGCTGAAGTATCTTACCGTGTTTCCATTATTAGGATTAGGCCACAGTCTGCCTGCTCCTGCTCCCCTGTACAGAGAAACACAGCAGCATATTTAGTAACGGGTTTATAAAAGAAAGTTTATTAAATAAAACAACAGAATATATTTCCACTGATGAGTTTTTTATAAAGCTATTTATGTATTAAAGTGACACTTCAAAATCAAAGGATTTGCCTCTGAAGTTCACAGTTCAATATTTAACAAAGAACTAGCATTGTAAAGCTTTAAATTGGAAGTGTGCGCTTTTTTTTAACCACATAAAGGCAACTGTATCATCAATCGCAAATTTCTAAGGTTTCCAAATGACCAAATCTTTGCTGTCTGTCATCTGATTGATTATTATTTTACTTTTTTGCAAGAAAAAGGCCTTTCAGTTTATAAATGTCCAACAGCAGGTTCATGCGTCTTTACCGATTTCTATAAGGTAAATGTAAGATTGTTAATAAAATGTAAAAAAAAAAAAAAAACACTTACTGGACCGAAGCAACTTATCCATACATTTTCTTTTTTTGTTGAAAAATCACATTAAAATGTGAGTATCAAATATGATACATCAGGTTTTTGAGGAATGTTTTTTTTTGTAAAATTTATCAACCATCACTATTGCATTGCATTACTGCATTATATGTTTTGCCCCCACAATAAATACAGGGCTTTGATTATAAAACTAAGCATTTAAATATTTCTTACTAAACATTATTGGGAGCTATAGAGTGACAACTGATAATTGTATTATATTTTATGCAAGTAGATCTCACTGATTTACATTAAAACCTATCAGAATAACATTTTTGATAAAATGTATGTGTTTTTTTGTTCCTTTTTGAATATGAGATCCTTATTCTCACTAAATACTCTCTGAGCATTGGTGAATCGAATATGATACTCAACAAAAACCAATATGCAAACTTTTTTTTGTTGTTAAATATTTTGACTAAAGGTTCAATAAAAAAAAAAACATGTCAGGCTTTGCAGGGTTAAAAACTTCCTCCATTCATAGTTTAATATGCAGAGACAACATAACAAAAGTCATCTGAATGTTAATCCTCCTTTAATGGTTTCATTGCACCCAGAGGCACTTTTCTGTTTGTTTGAGCATCCTGACCAGTCCGACACAGACACAGACACATACACATGAAATCCCACAAATGCGAAAGACTGGGAAAGTCCTTACATGTTCACGCCTGGCATTCCAGGGCCCATGGAGTTTGGAGGCCTCATTCCTCCGCCATAGTTCTGTAATGATAACCAAGGATCAGACTACGATGCCCAGCACCCGAGAGGACACCGCGAGAAAGGAGAGAACAAGGACATGGTTAGTTTAGAGGAAAACAGGCTGAACATAACAAGGATTATGGGTGATCTGAAAGCAGATTAATACTGTAGTAAAGACTGTGAACACGTGGATGTCCTACAAACGCTGAATAAGGACTGACTCAGGTTTAGAACACAAGAAATACATACAAATAATTGGTGTATGGAATAGGGTTTGGTGATATATATCGAATATTGGCAATATTTTCACAAATGATTCTGAATTGAAATTTAGGTAGCAGTCCTGTTTCCCATACATATGTACTTGTTATAGTAATTACAAAAACTGGGTAATAACTAGGTACTAACCCTCAACTTACCACTAAACCTAACCTTAACTTGTGTAGTTATCTAAGAAAGTACTGGTTATATAAGGCAAGTACACTGTAAGTGCACATACTGTAAAATAAAGTTTAGCCTAAATTTAAGAAGAAAAAAAAACTGATTCAACAACACACTTGCATCATTCCTCAAAAATATTAACTATATTTAAACGTTTGGACACAGAAGAAATAGAAATTATTTCTTGATTCATTTTAACTGTATTTGATGGTTTTCAAAAACATTAAAAAAAAATAGTAGCAACCCTAAACATTAATTTGACCAAAATACAGTACAAACAGTAGTATTGTGAATTATTATTACGATTTAAAAGAACTGAAAATATTATAATGTCATTTATTCTTTCCTGAATAAAAGCATTCATTTCTTCTCTCTTTTTTATATCTATATACTATTTAACATTAAAATTTGAGGTAAAAAATATTGAAATATAGTTGTTTTAACTATATCACCCAGTCCTAGTGGTGAGCAACTCATTGACGGGGTCTAGGGCAACGATATTCAAGTTTTCGTGAATGACAGCATAAGATCCAGACCTGTAGTCCTGGTCCCATTGGGCCCATTCCTCGAGGAACGTTCATTCTCTGCATGCTTGCCAAGTTTGGATGGCCTGAGCAAATAATAACATCATTAAAAATGTAATAGACATGCACTTCAAAATCAAAAATCGATGAAATGACAATGCTGAATTTGCACAGAGAAGTTGCCCATCAACGAACACTGATCTCATTAGTCTCTCACCTGTTGGTCGTGTAGGGTCCATCATGTTTGGAGGCAAAGGCTGCCCACCGGGAGACTAAAGTAACAGAGACAGTCAGGTGCTAAAATAAGTCAGAGTGAATGAAACATTTTTAATGCGACTTACCGGGTTACCCATTCTGATGGGCGGCCGAGGTCCTCCAGCATAGCGAGGAGACATAAAAGGCTGGAAAAAAGGGAACAAACAGTGACATTCAGTTTTAACAATGTGACCTATACAAAAGCTGACAGGGAAAAGGGGGGGGGGCTATTTTAGCAGAACGTGTGCATAACCGATATAAGCAGAGAGAGGGTGTGTGGTGTTACCTGTCCATGCGCCCCCATCATGTTAGAGTTTGGAGGTAGCTGAGCGTGAGGGGAGGCTTGGGAACCAGGTGGTCCCTGCAGAGAGGGTGGGGGGAGCAAGCGGAGGTTGCCATAGTACCAGCAACGAAATGCCAAGAGAAAGACAGAGCAAAGTCAAAGACAGGACAGGTGAAAGCGACAGGTGCAGCAGATCCAGAGAACAGAGACAAGGGCGAAAGCTCAGTACTAGTTTGATGTGGAGCTGACATCACTCATGGTTCTTATCTGGTTTTGCTTTAAAGGGATAGCTCACTTTGAAATTAATTGTGGTATGTTTTAGCTTACCTCAAGGGCATCCAAGATGTAGGTGTCTTTGTTTCCACAGTGTTTTCAATTTTTTTTTGATATTTTTTGGTCAAATTGTTCTTGACTGTCGGTCATATAATGGAGGTCTATGGTCACCACCTCAAAGAGCATGCACAGAGAAGTCCAAATTAAACATGATTTAATGACTCGTAAATGCAAGTACACATTGATGGCCTAAGACACGAAACGAGCGGTTTGTGTGAGAAAACGAACAGTATTTCTTTCGTTTTTACCTCTTGTAACCACAGCAACATCGAAGTGATCTGAGGGCGCGGGCGTTTCGGTCTGCGCAAGCGTCGGAAGTGATTACCGCTCGTTTCGTGTCTTAGGCCATCAATATGTACTTACATTTTCTCTGTGCATGCTCTTTGAGGTGGTGACCATAGACCTCCATTATATGACTGATAGACAAGAACGGTTTGACCTAAAAATATCAATAACAAAGACACCTACATCTTGGATGCCCTTGAGGTAAGCTAAAACATACTAAAAATTCATTTCAAACTGAACTATCCCTTTAAGACCCTATTACACTGGAAATCAAGCAGCGACCCCACATTTTTATATTTATATAAATATAAAAATATACACACACCTATATATTTAATAATTGATAAATATTATGCAAATTATTCATGGTATTAATCAATTAATAAATATCTGATTTTAAATGCGTATTATTATTGTTATTATTAAGAAAATAATAGAGAACAGAAAACACCATGTTAATTATTTGTGCAAGTGATCCTGTATTTAATAATAGGGTTGGTATTTATTATCAGGGTTTTTCTTTTACCTTTTATAGTTTTGGTTACAGTTTTTGAGTTGAGATTTGAATTATTTGGACAGTTGCAAGTAATTCTACTAAATGACATCCATTTCCACCAGAATATTGTTATATTTGACACAAATGGATGCACAGCTTTTGACATCAACAACACAATGAATGGGAAGTACTTCCCTATAGACATTTATAATGTCACAAAAGATTTATATAACAAATAAATGCTGTTCTTTCGAATTTTCTGTTAATCAAAAAATAGAAATTGAAAAAATCTATTTCGGTTTCCACAAAAATATTAAGCGGCACAACCGTTTTCAAAATGGATAAAAATAAGGAATGTTTCTTGAGCATCAAATCAGGATATTAGAATGATTCTGAAGGATCACATGGAGTGATGACACTTTTTAAAATGAAATGACTTCTTTCTAAACATAAAAAACCCACTACTCCCAAACTTTTGAATAAATACAGTATGCTTACACCACAGTATTGTTGAAATCATTCTTGATTCTGATAGGTTGACAGGCATTGCAGCATCTTGATTAATTGTCTATAACTCATTTTCTATAATAAAAATGACATAAATATGAGTTTTTTTTTAACAAAATTTTGTTGGATTTAAAAATAAATTTGCAATTGAGTTTTTTTTCACTTGAAGACAAAATTCAAGTCGTAATATGTTAGTAAATTTATATATTCGTTCTTTTTTTACAGAAAAACGAAAGAATAATGATAAAGAACATGTTTTTACAGTGTACAAATGATCATCCATGTCACCACTAGGGGGCAATGGGGTTTAAGGGTAGTCAAAACAACCTCAAAGGCACTCAACTGTTTCTCAAGTTTTCCTGCATACCCACTGATGCATGTTTCAAGACTTGCATAAACCAGTTCTATGTTCTGCAGCTCTCAGTATCTGAGAATCTGTTCCCGCAAAGCCCTCGGAGGGTCGCGACTCCATCTGGTCTGAGAAAGAGTTCTCCAAATGCGTCCTTCCATAAGGTCATAATAAACATCCTATCATCCATAAATCTTTTCCAAGAACTCATTAAGATATTTTGTCGAGTCACCCTCTCTGAAAACTCCCGAGTGATAAAGCGTTAACTCCGCTGCAACACATTTAGCAGGGCCACTCAGCAAGGCAACACCGAGCCTGCTCTCAGAGTGGAGAATGAACATAACCCTGCCTGCCATTAGCGGCTAATGGTCGCAATCAGACCGGTTCCCTGCAGACGCTGGGCTTGGCAGAGGACCAGAGACCGTGGCATAATGGTTCCTCTGTGAACCGCCGGCACGTGTCTGTGCACCCGAGGGCTGCTAGTTAGATGGTTACGGATGGTTTATGGAGAAGAGCTGAGGAGTGACCCACCTGAAAGAATCCGGGGGGCATGGGGCCACCTGGCATCCCGTCACCGGGGGGCATGTTGCCCAGGACTGGACTCGGTGCTGCAGCAGCGCTCTGTGATGACAGGGGAGAAAACATGTCACCAATGATGAGGATACATTTGTGCACTACTGTTCAAAAGTCAGTACAACTCGTTTCCATAAAAAAAAAATATTAAGCAGCATAGCTTTTTTCAACATTGATGATAATAATAAATGTTTGAGCAGCAAATCAGCATATGATTTCTGAAGGATCATGTGACACTGAAGACTGGAGTCATGATGCTGAAAATCACAGGAATAGATTTCATGTTAAAACAAAACTTTAAAACATTTTAATTGTTATAATATTTTACAATATTACTGTTTATACTGTAAACTTTTGTACGGCCAGTGTATATGACTCAATTCAATTCATCAGCTTTGGCATTTTAAGGTTAAAAACGTTTGACTGGAATGTATTCTGAACAATCACAGATACAGATTTGCTGATATATTATTAAGTTCCGCCATTTCAAAATCAGAGGTTCAGGTTTAGTTTTTCTAGTTCCTAATTGAGGTTTTATGGGGGATTTTAGAAAATTCAAACGTAGCTGCAAAGATATCAACGAGTCATGGCATGATCTCAGAATTTCCCTTTGATCTAATTACAGTATAAAAAAACACCCACTTTGAAGAAGAATCACTTTGAATGCATTTCAATGCCAAATTAGGCATAGTGATGTTTTTAACAAAACACATATTTAAGGAATAATCACTCCTGTGGTGAACAAACATTGCGTCATGCTACAATTTTCAAAGTAAATCTGTAGTGCGTACTATATTATTAAACATTAAAAAGTTTCAAAACAGTTGTTTAAAAAAAATTAACAATTTTATTCAATTAGTTTGATGCATTAAATTGATCAAAATTGGCAGTAAAAACATTTCGGTAACACTTTACTTGAAGGGGTGTGCATAACACTGATATGACACCTTCATAACCATGACATGACATAAGTCTTGAATATGAAGTAGGGTTTATGCATGTTTAATGACAACTGTCATTACGTGTCTTTCACTCAATAATGACATTTTGAAGGCAAATATGACATCTTTGTTATGACATCTTGACATAACCCATAAAATCATAACCTGTCAGTGTCTTTGTCATGACAACTTGACATAAAATTAAGTTAAACTGTCATGTGTTTGGCTTTGACATTGGCTGTCATGAGGCCATTATAACTGTGTCATGAATATTTTTCATGACCTCAACTACAGTCAGTGGTACTAATTGAGTTTGTCATTAAAATGTTATAATGGCTTCATGATAGCCAATGTCAAAACCAACCACCTGACAGTTTAATGTAATGTTAACCAATAAAGCTAGGTGGTTTCTTAAGTTTGATAATTAATCTGCCATGTCATATTTATGACAGGTTGTGTTGTCTTAGTAATGTCAAGTTGTCATGACAAAGACACTGACAGGTTATGATTTATTGGTTTATGTCAAGGTGTCATAACAAAGACAACATTAAAATATCGAATAACCATAACAAATGACACTTAATAACAGTTCTCACAAACATGCATAAAACTTCCTTCATATTCATAACATACAGTATGTCATGTTGTCATGATTATGAAGGTGTCAGGTGTCATCAAAATATTAAGTATGTGCTTGTTGTACAGCCGCGGATCAGTTATTCACTGCAAACGCATCATAATATGTGAACGCACTAACAGCACGCTCCTGCACCGCAACACACACTGCAAACGGGTGTGAAACGGACGTTAGATCCACTACAGTTCTTAGAAACTCTGATGTGTTTAAGAACTCTTTTTTTCATACAACAGCAGCACTCATCTTGTTTGTTTATTAGTGGATGCGGATGACCAGTCGTAGACGGGAAACTGATATGCCGACTTCTGACAAAAAGCGGAAGTTCGAAACTACGCTTGTGCACATAGACCATAGCAGCCCTGGGTCAGCAGGTGAAAGCTGATTACAAAAAAGGTCAGGATTTAAGAGACTTACGCCAGGTGAGGTGACATCTTACCCAGAAATCCCTCTAAGCAGATCATCTTGATACAGCCGCTCGGATTGGGCAGCGAAGATATTGCCGAAACGCAAACTCGCATTGAATAATCCCTGCCTGAAACTGAGCTTTATAGCACACTGCTGCATCGAGCCTTCAAATCAACATCTATCGAAAGTCTAACAGTTACAACAGCCACCAACAGTGTTTATTGAGACGCCTCATATATTACAATCATTTTCTGTGATGTGCACAAACAGCTTATCAAGATCCTCTCAGCTCTGGGAGTACAGAAAGACAGATATCTCTCTCTACATCCTCACGTGGGACTGTCTAAACACACGGACTGCAGTCACAGTTTATCGACACTTCGCAATCCTCTCAGACCCCTGGATCAGGCCAGAGGGACATCATTTAGGGTATTTTCCTCAGCGGTCCAAACTAATCTCCTTTGTGAACACTGTTGTTCTCTCTGTGACCAAATACCACAAACAGAGATTAACCGACGAGATAAACAAACTCCAAAAGAGTCGAGTCCTAAAACGGCATCAGGTTTTACGAGGGAAGGATCTGTGGATCAATACCCAAATCCAGACAAACACGAGACAGAGAGTCTGATGTTTAGAAGTACATTTATTCCTTAAAGAGTGAAAATTCAATATTTAACCACAATCAAGTTCTGGAGAAAACTGCCTGAAAGAAAAGCATTTGCCAATGGATTTGGACTGGTTTAAGGAATAATACACTGCAAAAAATTATAATTTTAACTTTTTGTAATTTTTGGTGCTATACTATGGAAGCTTGTTTCCGCCACTGAATAAAAAAATAATTGCGACTTTTTATCTCACAATTCTGACTTTTTTTCCTCACAATTGCGAGTTTACATCTCGCAATTCTGACTTTATAACACATAATTGTGAGTTTATATCACGAAATTCTTAAATCTTTACTCAGAATTGTGAGATATAAACGCGCAATTACGAGTTATCAGGCCAATTCTAGGGGGAAAAAAGACTAAGTTTTTCCCCCTCAGAATAGTTTATATCTCACAATTCTGACTTTACAACACGCAATTTTAACTTTATATCTCACAATTCTGACTTTATATCTCACAATTCTGACTTTATAACACACAAATGTGACTATAACACACAATTCTGACTTTATATCACGCAATTCTGAGAAATAAAGTCAGAATTGCGAGATGTAAACTTGCAATTGTGAGGAAAAAAAAGTCAGAATTGTGAGATAAAAAGTCGCAATTACCTTTTTTATTTTTCATTAAGTGGCAGAAACAAGTTTCCATTCTATACAGAGAAAAACTGTAAAAAAAAAACATTTCGTGTACATTTACAGTAAAAAAGAACAGTAAACTGTAAAGTGATATTCCTAGATTTCACTGTGACACTTTTCATTTTAACAATTATGTTTCTTCTTAGATTTTTGTTATCAGTAATGAACATTAGGGTTTTATGTTACGTTTACACTTACACTGCATATAGAAATACGTTACACTGTATGCAGTTTCTATATTAGTTTCTAACATAGTTATCTATTAGTAATATTAGCATTACTATAATATTAATATAATATTACTAAGCTTGTGGAAAAGCTACTTTGATTCATCATGTGGTTTTCTCTTTACCGGCAGTGTTATTATGGTGTCTACAAAATATTTGTAGTAACTAAATGGCATCTTATAGGTTTAGTAATAAAATCTGGTCCACATTGTATCTTATTGTGGCCAAATGTCGACCAACTAGAGAACAGTAAGAGCGGCAATCATTTATTTCACATGAAATCAAAAAGATCTCCACAAAAGGCTGTAAAGTCAACACAAAAGTAATTAGCAGAAAATTTTTATGACTTTTTACTTTTGGAATTTGGACAAAGGGAAGTTTCGAGAAATATCAAAGAAACCTTTTTGTGAAAGTTGTCTTTCCAACTGATTGAACGGTGTGTGCACTCATCACCCGGAAGTTGTAAACAATCAGTCTGGAATGGACATTTTCAGTTTCAATTTCATTATCAGTTTTTATTTTTGGGTGCAATGTGCCATTTACAATGTACGCATTAAACGGAGGTTGCAATAGCTAAGTTTACCCATTGTGTCATATAAGAGTGAAACAGCTTCTCAAACAAGAAAAAAAAAATAAGTGGGCGATAAAAATAAAGCTTTTTGTCCATGGGGAATTGATTGGCTGGTTGTGGTTTGTTTTTGCTATGATGTCATCTGAATGACAGGTTGTCTCACCCTCACACTAGTAAACACATCATCAGAGAAGTCACTGCAAGAGGGAGGAGTTATTGTGATTAAAGACTCAAACACGATTTAAACAAAAAATAACGATGTGAACAATTAAATTGGCAGGTTTGAACTTGCAACACTTTTAGGTTAAATCATTCCTTGACCTTTGCAGATCTGACTGACTTGACAATATTATCATTGATCATGAAAATAACAGACTGACAGTCAAGAACTCGCACCGACTGCCAAGTAAACAACAACACTACATGAAATTATTGATTTGTGCAGTTCAAATTGATTAATTCATTTAAATTTAGCCTAGAAATTAAGACATTATGGATTTTAAAGAAGTTCCTAATGTAATATTTAAAAGTTGACTAAATTATATACAGTGCAAGTCTTGATCACAGTTCTCCCCAAGGCAGATAACTGACTTCCTGAGTCAATCTCACTTATCAGTCCATCACAAGCCCCAGAGGGGATCTCAGTACACGCCTACGGCACCACCCATCAGATTAAACCACCAGTCAACTGCCAAGCGTCCTCGGTTTCCTGCTTCTAGTCATTCTCACATGGGTGCGATGGTCATAATATTGCCTTCTAGTGTTCTGTCTAACTAAACGTCTGATATGGGTGCGATAGAGCTTAGGCGACACACATTAGAATGGCACTTGAGACAGCAGGCCTGCACCGCAGACAGGGAACACACCGCTCTTCACATTCTGACACCATCATTACACGAAAATCCTGGTCTGGCTCTGACCTCAGTGCACAAAACATCCATCTGGCTAGTGAAAGCTAATATAT